TATCTTTTAAAATTGTATTTTCTTTTCTCATGAATACTTTTTAATAGTTTGACTTATACCCAGTTAATGTGCACAATTACCTAAAAGTCTTTCTTTCCTCATTACCCCTCAACACTATGCCTCTAGGTGAAATTAGGCACCTGAACTACAGGATCCCACGGGTGCTTCCCTGGCATCACTTTCTGATGATTCAAATTCCATATAGCTAAAAAAAAAAAAAAATCCCAAATGAAATCCAGGGATTAATGACAAAGGCCATATTCTGTCTTCTCTTAGAAGCAGGGTGCTACAGCAGAAGGAAGATGGACTAAAGTTCTAGATTCACATCCCAGTTGGACCACTCACACCCTATCTGATGGCACTCATCTGTAAAGAGGGAGCACATTCCTACTCTACAGCATTTGTGCTGTAAGGATTAAATGAGGTCATATGAGAAAAGGGCCCAAGACAGTGGCTGGCACATAGAAGGCATAAAAAATGGTAGTTGTGTTATTATTTATTTCTCCCCCACTAGACTGCAAATTCCTAAGGTCCAAGATTTGATTGATTTCACTCACTGTTATTTCCAAAACAGTGCCGAGAATGTGGTAAATTCTTAATACACACTTAGTGAATAAACATTATTATAATTATCATAAAGGCCAGGTCAACTTAATAACTCCAGTGACTTCCTTGAGGAATACACTTTGCATCCTCTTTTCTTTTTCAAATCAAATCCAAGCGTGAGTCCTTTTCCCATGAAGCCACCGCTAACAAGGTCTAATTTGTGTTTATCTCATACTTCTCATATTTAACTGACAGAATCAACAGCACCACCTGCCTTATCACTTACACTCAAGACTAAATAGGAATGGACTGCATAATATATGTCTATATCATTGCCTGATTACTTCATATTTATGAGTCCTGTCTTCTTAACATTCAATTCCATCGATATTTCTTGGTTGTTTATCAAGTGCTGGACCCTGTGCTAGGTTCTGGAAAGGAAATAGTAGTGGCCTCAAGAAGTACCCAGTCTCTTAGTAGATATAGATGTAAATGAAACAGTTATAACAGAGTATGATATGAAAGCACACTACTATTTGCACATAGTATCTATGTAGCAGAGAAGTGATAAAGTGATTAACCTTCTTCAAGAAGGTCAGGGAAGGGCTCCCAAGAGAGGTTATAAGGGAATATGATTTTTAAAGAATGGTTAGAAATTTCCCAGATCAAAGTAGGGGTGGGGGTAGAATGTTCCAAGGAGAGTGAACAATGTATGCCCAAGGATATAAGATAACAAGATATACCCTAGAGACCTTAGAAGCAATTCAGTACTATTGAGTGTAAGTGGAGAGGCTAGGAAATGAGGAGGGGCCAAGAACTGCTGGATATTAAGACTGGAGACAGAGGCAGTAGTCACATCTTGCAAAATTTTGAATGTTATAATCAAGGTAGGTGACGGTGAGCCCTGAATGTGATGATTTGATAGAACTTAAAAATGACCATGATAGCAGGGTAGATAAATTGGGAGAAAGAGACTGAAGTTCAGCAATAAGTCAGGAGAAGTTTTATAGTAAAGGTCCAGATGAGAGAGACTAAGAGCCTAATTGAGCCAGTGATGATGGGACTGACAGGTTGAATTTGATTTTTAAGGTTTATCATTGATATGACTAACTCAGTCATTGGAAGTAGAAAGATAAAAGGGAGGGGAAAGAAGCACCTTCATTGCTTTGTACTCTTACTTGGTAAAGCATAATACTAACCACATAAAAAGTCAGTTCGGTCCAGTCACTCAGTCTCGTCCGACTCTTTGTGACCCCATGAACCACAGCACGTCAGGCCTCCCTGTCCATCACCAACTGGCAGAGTCCACCCAAACTCATGTCCATTGAGTCAGTGATGCCATCCAACCATCTCATCCTCTGTCGTCCCCTTCTCCTCCTGCCTTCAATCTTTCCCAGAATCAGAGTCTTTTCAAATGAGTCAGCTCTTCGCATCAGGTGGCCAAAGTATTGGAGTTTCAGCTTCAACATCAGTCCTACCAATGAACACCCAGGACTGATCTCCTCAGAAGTAATTCTTTAATAAGCTAGCTGCTATAGCATTATCTGGTTTTGATTTCATTTTAAATTTTAAAATTACTTTCTATGAATTGGAACTTCCCAAGATCTTGCCCAGCCTCTTGGTGTATTTCCAGTCTATGAGGATTCTCAATATTTCCAAGTTATTAGCAAACAGAAAACCAAAAGGTGACTTTGTTTTCCAACCACATATTTCTCTCTTTAGATAGTAGTTAGTGGAATATCAGAAGTAGTCTGAGAATAATGTGGCCTAACTGTGAACAAAGAAGGAAAGATGTCACAGTACCCATAAACAGTTTGAGCCTTCTTTTTAGGATCACATAGAGTAATGACACAATTTTTCTTAGTTTTCAAGGTCATCTTGACCTCATTTAATGCTTAATTGTGTATCCTAAAGACAGAATTTTCTTGGGAAACGATTTCCATGCTACACAGAGAAATGTCAGACTCAGTTTATCAGAGTTTTGAATTATCAGGGAAGATGCACAACACAGTGTAAACAAAATCACTTATTTCCATAGGCCACACTCCAATTACACAACAAGCGATGAGGAATTCTTCCATTGATCAAACGGCTGGTGCATGCATGCTCAGTTGCTCAGTTGTGTCTGACTCTTTGCAAGCCCACTGACTGTAGTCCACCAGGTTCCTCTGTCCATGAGATTTCCTGGGCAAGAATTCTGGAGTGGATTGCCATTCCATTCTCCATGATGAGATGGCTATCTTATGTATTTCTATTTGTTTCTAAGATTTGGAAGAGGATCTATAAAGATTTCAAATAGGTTTTCAGGGGGTGATTTTAAATGATCAAAATTTTTTGGACCATATCATATGTGTCTGTGATATACATGGTCTCTTAGGAATTTTTGTCGGCAAATTACAGTCTCTTGGCCAAATCTGGCCCATCACCTGTTTCTTTACTGCCTTGAGGCAAGAATGACTTTTCACATTTTTAAGTGACTGAGGAAAAAAATCAAAAGAAGGATACTATTTTATGATATGTGAAAATTATCTTAAATCCAAAGTTCAGTGTCCATAAATGAAGTTTTCTTGGAGCACAGCCCACCCATTTGTTGTGGGTTGGCTGCATGCATGCCACAATGGCAGAGCTGATAGTTGGGCAAAGCCTAAAGTATTTACTATCTGGCTCTTCTCAGAGAAAGTTTGCCAATCTTTGTTTTAAGAGCTTTCCCTTAAAGAAACACAGAGGCCTTCAGTAAACCGAAGACTTCTTTACAAAGATTTCCTGTGTCAGTGATATGTTTTTTTAAAAAAAGAAAATGTACACATTCAGGAAAGATAATAGCATTGCCATATCATAAAGTAAGATAGGCCTTCATTAGATTTAGGATGCTTCTTTTTCTATTCCGTGTCAGTGTAGCATAGTTTTTAGGAACACACATTTTAGAGTCATCCTTTTTTCCCTAAATCTTGATAAGCTTTCTGTGACCTTGGGCTATTTAACTTTTCATAAGCCTTGGCTTTCCTATTCAAAAAAAGAGTAATAATGGTACCAACCTTAAGAAGTTACAGTGATATTAAATGGGGTGAGTTTTTAAAAGGAATTATCTAGCTTGGTACCTAGTACATAGTGTGAAATACATTTATTTTTGTGTGTGATTGTCCTCATTATCTGAAAATATCTCTTTCTGGTGGTTCACTCCCAAGACTGCCAATCACTTCTGTTTTGACAAGGAAATACATAAAACCCTGCTTACTTAATTTCACTTAGGAGGAACTCTTCTCTGTATTGCCTGCAGAAAAACTGTCCTGTGTGCACAAATCCAAGAGTATACTTGACAGGAGGATGGAAAAAGGGATGCCTAGGATGTCTAGAAACAAAAAATCATAGAGATGAAGAGTGTTGGAAGGCTGGTCAGCAGCTGGATTAAGCTGGTGAGCAGGATGTTGGGAATTTCCATGTTAGACTCCATTCTAACTTTTTCTGTGGCGAGCCCACAGTTCTGTGATGGGCTGTTCATAAAAGCTCTTTAATTTAGTAGCTAAAGTCTTTTTTTTAAAAGAGTATCTGAAGTTTTTGTCATTTCATCCCATTTTATGTTAGGTTAACATTGCCAATTTTCTTTTATTACTTGATGTTTTAGCTGTTGTTTCTAACCAGAAACACCCTTAGAAAAATCACGAGAGTGTAAGACTGACCATTCTTAGAAATGGTGATGTCTTTCCTCCTGGGCTTCCTGTCACCAGTCTCCTGCCTCAGCTTGCTCTAGAATCATCATGACTATGGACTACTGCAGAGGAACCGAGGCATGGAGGATGCATGCTTCCCTGGCTCTGAAGCAACCTCTCATGTCTTTTCTCCTGTCTATAAATAGATCCTGATCAGCCTCAGCAGAGGTGGTCTCTATTACTCAGGGAGCTGGAGTAATTGGTATAAATGGCATGAGGAGGAGAACTTTCTTTAGTGGTCTCTTAAGGAACAAATCTCTGCCCCAAGAGAACTAAAAGGGGAGGAAAATCCCCTAAGACAAACAGTTCTTTTGTCTCCTCATCCCCCAAAATCAATTACAGAAATATCAGAAATTGAAAAGGTAGCAAATATCTCTACAATGCAGCTGAGCAACAGAATTTCTATAGGTCTATTTCTTTTTTTTTAATCACATGAAACGGTTTGCACAAAAATTTCACTTAAAAAAAAAACTTGCTATGTTTTATGTCTTGAGATACTGTTTCGAGAACAATTCCTCCAAATTTTATCCTTGTCTCTCAATCATGGTTGAATAATTATGGTTAATTGAGTTTAACCATCCAAAAGAAGAAGAAAATATTTCAGCGCTCTCATATACTCTAGTTGGATTCTTGGTTAAGAAGACAAACACCCTCACGTCAGCCTGGTACGTTGGGATAAAATCCAACACTGTAATGCTCACATGCATGCCCATGAGCGGAATGTGGTGGGGTGGGCATGGCCTCTGTTTACTGGTAGGAGTAGCTCTCATCATCGTATTCCAGGTCATCTTCATTGTCGCCATCCAGTAGCCCATACCTAAATTTCCGGTAGACAGTGCCATCTTGGCCCATGTAGACAATGTCGTCATCGTCATCCTCATCATACTCCCGGTCTCTGTACTCAATCACTTGATCCTCTTCAAAGCTCTCACGATGGCTGCTCTTATAGGAGGAGTAAGACACGCTAGGTTCAGCCAGCTTTGCATAGCCGCCTTTTTCTGTTGACTTGGCTCTGCCCCGAGATTTCCTCCAGACAATCACAGCTGCCCCGAGCAGAAGCACCAGCATGGTGGAGGAAGTCATCAACAGGGCTGTCTTGGAACGCTGACCTGCCGGCTCAACCTCACGTGCTTGAAGGATACACTCATCTGTTGGAAGATGATCCCAAAGGAAGAGGACAGAGGGGAAGGGTGGAAGAGAAGAAATGGAACGGAGAATTAGTAAAGGGTTTCACCTTTATCTTTTGAGTCTAAAATAGTAGAACCACTGTCTTTGATTTCCTTAGAGAGCATGTCCCTCTACAGAACTGCTGTGTGTACTCCAGGAGAGTTTCAGCCCATCTGAGATGACACCAACAAACTCTTCTAGGGTGAAGGTCAGTCTGAGGACCAAAGGGAGTCCCCCATCATATCCACACCTCACAGGTCAGTCATCAAGGGTCCAACCTTACCAAATCGATTCTTCTCTTCCCTTCTTGAGAAAAATTCCATTCTGGACCAGGTTGCAGTTATTGTTAAATGCTCTATTTCTGTTTCAACTTTAGCTTTTTCTAAGACTGAGTCTTTTCCCCAGCTTTAAATCAGGTTTACATTTAAACCTGATTCAACAGGATTGTCCCATCACTCAAAGACAGGAACAGATTATTTATAAAACCATTGACTCATTGCTGTGTGGGGCCATAGAAATCACAGGTCAGTCTTGTTTGATAGTTGAGGAGATGGAGACCCACAGAGAGAAAGTGAATTGTCACATCGTCAGAGGTTAGAAGTTGTTTGTGGAGTGATCGGAATTAAAACCCAGGAATACCTACTTTAGGCTACTGTCTGGAGACAATAGGGTAAAACACTGGCAATTTTTTTTTTTTTTTTTTTTTACTTTCTGACATCCTATGGACCTTATCTGACAGGAAGAAAACTACCATCTTTAAATTCTTATTTCCCTCTCATCTTTAAATTTTGACTGCCAAATTGAGTGATAGATTTCTTCTATCATAACTAAGATTTCTGAAGCTGACAGCTCTGCCTCTCTATCATTCATCATCCTTGGTTTTGATGACTTAATTGAGAACATGGAGCAACCAAAACAGTTTCATAACTCAGTGATGAACTCATTTTCACTCATTTATTCAGGTGGTATGATTTACCCAATTTTTTTTTTTCTATTCTTTAACCCACCAAATGGGAGTGTGAGAGTATGAAAGAACTAGAAAGAAAAACTAGCAGGCTTTATTGGATGTACAAGTTTAAATAAAACAGTACATTTTCCATAAATATTTTTTGAACCAACTAGTTCTGTCCTCAGGATGTTTTATGAGATTCTAGGTACATTATGTACACTAGCTTAATGAATATAATACTGTGCCAGTTATTTTAGGGTTAATCACTTTTGCTTAATATATATTGGCCAATTAGGTGTGATTCATCGTCATCACCACTATGTGTTTCTTTTCTTCTCTTTTTGCTAGTGATAAACAAGTTTTTTTTTTTAAATTTTATCCTAACTTTCATCCTCGTGGGATTTTGCCCATCAAACAGAATTTCATCTCCTAAAGTAACAATACCATCATGACTACTTTTATCATTAATATTCTAGAACAGAATTTTTCCACTGGAGGAAATATTAAAGCACTAGAGGGAAGGATAAGCAATAAGGATTGCAATCTGTGTGTGGTGTGTGCCTGCTAAGTCTAAGGCTCTTTGTGACCTTATGGATCATAGCCTGCCAGGCTCCTGTGTCCATGGCATTCTCCAGGCAAGAATCCTGGAATGGGTTACTATGCCCTCCTCCAGGGGACCCTCCTGACTTAGGGATCAAGCCCACGTCTCTTGTGTCTCCTGCATTGGCAGGCAGATTCTTTACCACTGGAGCTACCTTGCAAGCCCTCTGTATGTGGTACTTTGTGATAAACCCTGTCTGAGACAGGAGACTCAATAAAAGACCTTGTGAGGTTGTTTCAATTAATAGGGCATCATATACAATCCTGTCTTACTATCCTCCAGTCTTAGGCCTGGAGAGTTAGCATCAGTTTCTGTGATATGGGTTCTTCTTTGAAGGAGCCGAGTGACACAGTAAAGAATGAGCAGGTAATCAAGAGTATTTAGTCTTTTGCAGAGTTGCCCCAGGTGAATCTTCAAGAGCTACAGAAAGCCCAGGAAAGCTGAATAACTAGTTCTTAGTTGTAAAAGGCTTGCTGAAACTCTACATCCAACATGCACCCACTTCTGGTTTCATTTGAAGCCATCAATGTATTGAGGGTTATTATTCTTAGATGACACGGCATGAATAATAGGCAATCAGACCCTGAAGGTGGATGTGTGTGAAGAGCTGGGAAAACCAGCTGCTCATGGAGGCAGGATTGCTGAAAGGAGGAAATAATTAGTTTTTGGAAAGAGGATATTTAGAAGTGAAAAGGTTGATAAAAAATAAAACAGAAAAGGCTAGTAGTGGCTTGGGGTCTGGGGTTTACTTTTTTTTATAAATGAACAGGTTCCCATAAATATGATGTCTCTTTTTTTGTCAAGCCATGATGTAGCTGAACCCCAAAGAAATGATATGCTTTTGCACTATAGAATGTTTTAAGAATTTGTATTTTTCTTTTTAGAAGAATGGAACTGGAGGAATCAACCTGCCTGACTTCAGGCTCTACTACAAAGCCACAGTCATCAAGACAGTATGGTACTGGCACAAAGAAATATAGATCAATGGAACAAAATAGAAAGCCCAGAGATAAATCCACACACCTATGGACACCTTATCTTTGACAAAGGAGGCAAGAATATACAATGGAGAAAAGACAAAACAAGTGGTGCTGGGAAAACTGGTCAACCACTTGTAAAAGAATGAAACTAGAACACTCTCTAACACCATACACAAAAATAAACTCAAAATGGATTAAAGATCTAAACGTAAGACAAGAAACTATAAAACTCTTGGAGGAAAACATAGGCAAAACACTCTCTGACATAAATCACAGCAGGATCCTCTATGACCCACCTCCCAGAGTAATGGAAATAAACACAAAAATAAAAAAATGGGACCTAATTAAACTTAAAAGCTTTTACACAACGAAGGAAACTATAAGCAAAGTGAAAATACAGCCTTCAGAATGGGAGAAAATAATAGCAAATGAAGCAACTGACAAAGATTTAATCTCAAAAATATATAAGCAACTCCTGCAGCTCAATTCCAGAAAAATAAACGACCCAATCAAAAAATGGGCCAAAGAACTAAACAGACATTTCTCCAAAGATGACATACAGATGGCTAACAAACACATGAAAAGATGCTCAACATCACTCATTATCAGAGGAATGCAAATCAAAACCACAATGAGGTACCATCTCATGCAGGTCAGAATGGCCTCTATCCAAAAGTCTACAAACAATAAATGCTGGAGAGGGTGTGGAGAAAAAGGAACCCTCTTACACTGTTGATGGGAATGCAAACTAGTACAGCCACCATGGAGAACAGTGTGGAGATTCCTTAAAAAACTGGAAATAGAACTGCCATCAGTTCAGTTCAGTCACTCAGTCGTGTCCGACTCTTTGTGACCCCATGAATCGCAGCACGCCAGGCTTCCCTGTCCAGCACCAACTCCCGGGGATTACTCAAACTCATGTCCATTGAGTCCGTGATGCCATCCAGCCATCTCATCCTCTATCGTCCCCTTCTTTTCCTGCCCCCAATCCCTCCCAGCATCAGGGTCTTTTCCAATGAGTCATATGACCCAGCAATCCCACTGTTGGAAATACACACCGAGGAAACCAGAATTGAAAGAGACATGTGTACCCCAATGTTCATCGAAGCACTGTTTACAATAGCCAGGACATGGAAGCAACCTAGATGTCCATCAGCAGACGAATGGATAAGAAAGCTGTGGTACATATACACAATGGGATATTACTCAGCCATTAAAAAAAATACATTTGAATCAGTTCTTATGAGGTGGATGAAACTGGAGCCTATTATACAGAGTGAAGTACGCCAGAAAGAAAAACACCAAAACAATACACTAACACATACATATGGAATTTAGAAAGATGGTAATGATAACCCTATATGTGAGATAGCAAAACAGACACGGATGTATAGAACAGTGTTTTGGACTCTGTGGGAGAAGGCGAGGGTGGGATGATCTGAGAGAATAGCACTGCAACATGTATATGAAACAGATCGCCGGTCCAGGTTCAATGCATGAGACAGGGTGTTCAGGGTTGGTACACTGGGATGACCCACAGGGATGGGATGGGGAGGAAGGTGGGAGGGGGGTTCAGGATGGGGAACACATGTAAACCCATGGCTGATTCATGTCAATGTATGGCAAAAACCACTGCAATATTGTAAGGTAATTAGCCTCCAATTAAAATAAATTTTTTAAAAAAATTTACATTTTTCTTTTTAGAAGATATCACTCCATTTGTGGCCTTTCTAAGCTTGTAGCCAACGAGAACAGAGTATCTATACAAGTGGGGTTGGGGTGGGGAGACAGTTCAGGGGTTGGAATTGGTAAACTGGGTTTTGTAAGAAAGCCTTCAATAAAATCTCATTTATAAAATGTCTTAAGTCTCTAATGGGAGCCCTGGATTTGAACTGACTTCCACAGAATGATTTTTCAACAGAATCAAGATAATATTGGCATCAGTTTCTGTGATAGGTGATTCTTTTCCTTTTTTCCTAAGAAATGAAAAACCAAAAAAAAAAAAAAAGGAATAAAGTTTATAAATTTATAAAGATGAAACTTTAGACCTGCTTAAGTTTGAATCTGGGAGGCAGCACAGGAGTGGAAAGAATGTTGGCTTTTAGTCCAAATGATCCATGTTCTAATTTCACATGAGCCTCTTAACATTGGTATGGACTCCCCTGTCCATGGAATTCTCCAGGCAAGAATACTGGAGTGGGTTGCCATTCCCTCCTTCAGGGGGATCTTCTGGGCATACTAATCAAATCCTTTGAACCCAAGTCTTCTCATCAGTAAAATGGGATTGATAATATCTACTTAAATAGTGGACAGAAAGTTCCAAATATACTAGACAAATAGTAAGCACTCAATAAAAAGGTAGCTTTATCTTATAATAAGCCATACTGGAAAAATATGAAAGACTATATGTTGTATATAAATATATATATTTTATATATATATAAAACATATATTTCTTCTCCCATGGCTCAGTGGTAAAGAATCTGCCTTCAATGCAAGAGACATGGGTTCAATCCCTAGGTCAGAATGATCTCCTGGAGGAGGGCGTGGTAACCTGTTCTAGTACTCTTGCCTGGAAAATCCTATGGACAGAGGAGTCTGGTGGGCTACAGTCCATGGGGTCGCAAAGAGTCGGACACGACTGAAGCAACTGAACAAGCAGAAACGCATATATATAACTGAATCACTTTGCTGTACACCAGAAACTAACATTATAAATCAACTATACTTCAACTAAAAATATATTTAAAAAGTCATTAGAAAGAAAGGCAGCTCTATTGGTCCTTTGAAACGTCCCATCCCTCTCCCCCTCATGCTCCTGTGAGCATCCTGAGGACACGTCCTTCCTCTGGCTCTGCAAAACTCGCTTCCCCTCCCCTCACCTTGGGTATTGTGGCAGTCACAGCACTCCTGGGCACTGGTGGGACCGGAGGCATTGCAGCAACGCAGGCAGCGGCTGTCGTCCATGTGCAGCACCAGGCCGGCAGGGCACACGGTGCAGTTCCTGCTGCCGGGACCCTTGCATTCTATGCAGCTCTCGTGGCACTTTTCACAGTTAAATTTCTCCCCCTGTTAAGAACAATCAGATTCCTTTTGAGTGTGGAGAAATTAACAAGACACTGAGAGTTCCCAGATGGCAGTTCCCTCTCCTCTGGATAAAGAAGGAGCAGGTCGGGGATGGCAGAAAGCTGATTTGTTCTGGGTCCATTTTAATTCTTCTGGGTGAAAGACAGAACTGGCTGTCTGCACTCGATGGAGCCAGTGTTGAGCTTTTCCTCTGAGATCTGCTGGTGATAACAGTGAGAGAACAAGCTTCTAGGATAGCTCAGGTTACACCCTGACGGCCATGAGCTGGACCTGGTCAAGGACAAGTTTTGTTTGGTCCATACTCAGTTGGATTTCATGGTTTAAAAAAATTTGAACTCATTGCCTACATTTCAAAATTGGGATATTTCACACATAAGTCAGTTCTGGGTTTCTCTGTCAAAACTATCAGACTTATCAACACTGGATTCATCACCCCCATATCACAGATAGAGTTGAGTGCAGTGACCCCTTTTTGCGCTCTCCTATTTGTTTTTTAAAATATTTTATTTATTTATTTTTCCATTTATTTTTATTAGTTGGAGGCTAATTACTTTACATCATTGCAGTGGTTTTTGTCATACATTGAAATGAATTAGCCATGGATTTACATGTATTCCCCGTCCCGGTCCCCCCTCCCACCTCCCTCTCCACCCGATCCCTCTGGGTCTTCCCAGTGCACCAGGCCCGAGCACTTGTCTCATGCATCCAACCTGGGCTGGTGATCTGTTTCACCCTAGATAATATACATGTTTCGATGCTGTTCTCTTGAAACATCCCACCCTCGCCTTCTCCCAGAGTCCACAAGTCTGTTCTATACATCTGAGTCTCTTTTTCTGTTTTGCATATAGGGTTATCGTTACCATCTTTCTAAATTCCATATATATGTGTTAGTATGCTGTAATGGTCTTTATCTTTCTGGCTTACTTCGCTCTGTATAATGGGCTCCAGTTTCATCCATCTCATTAGAACTGATTCAAATGAATTCTTTTTAATGGCTGAGTAATATTCCATGGTGTATATGTACCACAGCTTCCTCATCCATTCGTCTGCTGATGGGCATCTAGGTTGCTTCCATGTCCTGGCTATTATAAACAGTGCTGCGATGAACATTGGGGTGCACGTATCTCTTTCAGATCTGGTTTCCTCGGTGTGTATGCCCAGAAGTGGGATTGCTGGGTCTAATGGCAGTTCTATTTGATACAATCCTCAGAGTGTGCTCTGATGTCACCAACACATAGATGAAATGTCATACTCTGCCTATGGTCAAGTTTGCACTGGTTTTTTTTTTTTTTTTTTTGACCCAGCACTCATGACTCATTTATATGATCTGCCCAGCCTCTGGCTATTAAGATTCTTGTGTGCCTCTGCCCTGGGATAATATAAATTGTGACTGTTTAGCTAACACAGTGAAATATCAGTGGAAAGATTGTTGAGAGATTAAATAAAGTGACTTCCCTCCCAATAGGCTGCTTCATTTCACTGGTGCTGAAAATGTGGATGAGGGAACATACCTTCTTATTTCACTTCTGCACTTTGGAAGGCAGAAAAAGAAGGAATGAAAATTGCCAGTGTTCGGCAATTTCCAGGTGCCGATAAGATGCTTTCTCAGCTGAGATTTCATCAGATCCTGGATTAGGAGTCAGAACCCCTGGGTTTAATCCCAACTTTGTTATTTACTACTTGTATAATCTTTATCAGTGTACTGTATTTAACCTCTCAGATTCTCGGTTTCTCCAAAGTGTACTCAGGGCTCTTATCTGAATTTAAAGAGACTGGCATATGTGAATATGGTGGGTCATGTGAGTTTTACCATTTACTTAATTTCTAAAGTTTGGAAACACAATCAAGAAGTTAGTGGACTCAGGTATACCTATGGTTGATTCATGTTGAGATTTCACAGAAAACAGCAAAATTCTGTAAAGCAATTATCCTTCAGTAAAAAATAAATAAATTAAAAAAAAAGTGGACTCAGAATTCATGGTTTCTAGGCTAGCAAATGAAACGTCTCTCTCTTGATAGTCTGTGAAGGGAGGAGGAGAAGGACCAACATTGGTTGTGTAGTTCTAACATTCTTCAGATGTTTCAGGTTAGTCAGCAGAGGGGGAGAAGAGAAGACAGTTCTTATTTCTGGCATAATATTCCTATGTAGACCTGAAACTTCTAGGGTTGTGAGCAGTATATTGTTGTCTTCATTAAATAACGTCCCATTATTTCTTTCAGGTCTTCTCAGCTCCTTTGATTGGAATTAAGGTTACAGATGGGTAGTGCCATTATTCCACAATGCAGTGGTAGAAGATTTACAAATATTAAACCTGAGCTATAGTGTGTGTAGTGATTTTATGATTTTTTTGGACTTTGCCCAAAAGGACAAGCAGAAACTAGCTCACGTCCCTCTGCAGCAGTGGGTGAAGGCACACCACACCCAGCTCTGTACCTCTCCCACTCTGAACTCCCCCACAAGACAGTCCGCGTACCTCTCCCACTCTGAACTCCCCCACAAGACAGTCCGAGGTACACAGTCCTCCCACGAGGTGGTAGCTCCACACACAGGACAAGCAGTTCAATGCTCCTTTCCCTGAAAGACAAAAAGAGAAAGATTCCAAGTTATGAGACTGATCTTAGATTTCAATCTCTGTCTTGGATCTGAAACAGGAGCAAGAACACATTAAGTAACTTGAAGTAGAAAGGTGAATAATTGAGGATATGGAAAAACAGTCTATGAGATACCAAGTAAAGACCTAAAACTTACCCAGTTAGTCTAATCAACATAAACTCTCAGTTTGGAAATTATGGGTTAGGAGATGACAGATATTTTATTACAGCAAAAGAAAAGATTTTCAGAGAGTGACAAATCATGTAGAAAGTTTGTAATAGTTTTTATTTATCATTCTGCTTATAGTTTAACTAGTAGAGAGGATGAGAGTGATTTGAAGGGCTCCAAAACTTGATGAGTAAATCATGAACGGACAGTTCCTAATTAAGAAATAACACCAGACTTGCAATTTAAAATGCTAGGGCTAAAAGAATTTAGATCATTTTGTCCAGTAGTTCTTAATTTTGAGCATTGTCATGATAGGTTCCTTTGAAATTCTCTAGAAAGCAGTAAACTCTCTTCTCAGAAATTTGACATTCTATTTATTTAAGTTTTAAATAAATGTAAACTAACGCCCAGACACGTGAATTCGTCAGTCAAGGTTACATGGAGAATGGCTGAGTCAAGAGTTGGACCAGGTTTGTTGACTGACAGTGCAGAGCTCTTTGATCATACTACTTGCCTTCACACATGAACCAAGAGGAGGAAGTCTGCTTCCAGCCGAGGTAACACTTCTCTCCTAACTCAGAGACCCAAAGAATGACTAACCCAAGCATTTCTTTCTATGCAGTTAGCAAGGGATAACTTCTGGAGAGAGTTTGGGAACAGGAGAGCTGAGCTCTAGTTCACTGCGTTAGAAAGAGAAGCAAGAGCAAGGAGACGATGGGGCATGGAATGTGCCTGACACCATGAGCTGGAACGTGATCTGTAGATCTTTCCATTAGAAAAATATTGTAACGGGTGGTTAGTTGAACTCGAAGTAGAACCTTGAGTCCTCATCTTAAATTCACTATGGATTTCAATCTACTTTTCATATCTGATCTATGAACTCGATCATTTATAATGTTTCTATGAAAAAGTGAATTCTGACTTCTGAACAACAGCCCAGATAATAAATCTTTATTACCAGACTTCTTAGATTGGGGGCTGCCTATAGTGATATAAATTCAAAGCCATTCTATCTCTGTATTCCCTCCAGCTTCATGTAGAATTTCCTACATGTTCTGGAACACAGTTGTGGTCTCTGATGAGAGAATCAATCTTCTCCTACTTCTTTCCTTCCCCCTCGCCAGTTTTCTAAAATTTATCTTCAGTGTCTTACTCCAATTTTAAACACAAAAATGTGGGGTTTTTTCCCTTTATGAAATTAAAGGTAGGAGAAATTAACAGAAGGGGGAAAAGGGTGTAAAAGGTTAGGTCACAAAATTTGAACTGTAAGTTTGCTTACATTTTCCTGGAGGCCAGGAGCAATTTGGCTTGGATTCTGGGAAATTCCCAAAGGTACTACCTGTCACCTCTGGGTGACAAGCCAGGACTCTATTTACATCCCCTACACTGACTTGTTACAAAATCTGCATATTTAGGGTACTCTGTGTCTTTTGCAAAAGGTAGTTTGTTAATTTCCAAATGTTTTCTAATTTTTTCCCAAGTTTAACACCTTACATTTATCATTGCTTCGAAGGATCTGTAGGAACCTTGGGACCTATAAAGACAGCTCTGGTATTTCCCTAAAATTCAGAACAGCTCACCATCTGCTCTCTCTTGGTTGACCCCCAGGGGATGAATTCAATAATGCAGAGCCACCCCAGGGTCTGTCTATGGTGTCATTCCATACTGGAAGAGAGGCAGCTTGAGAGAGTTAGGAGGCTTTGGTTAACCAGCCTGGATTTTTAATTAAAACAATTTTGTGTGGAGGGTAAATACAAAGTGAAATGCACTAAGGCAAGGAAAGAGCTAATTATAAAGAAACATGGTGCAGAAAAGACACATCCTGGCCCTTAGTAGGTTGTCCTTCCCCAACCCCTTCAGTTCTTTTAAGTATTTTGTAACAGCCTAATATTATTGGGCAGTCAAATGTGAATGAAACACAATCTACTCGGTAAATTACTTATTTAGGGTGGGAAATTTTCCCTGTACCCTTTATGCACCCTCATTTCTTAGTATGACAGCTAATACTTTAAGAAGGAAAGAATTCATCCTTTGTTTTTTCACCCAGTTTACAACCCAGGAGAAAACTTGTCCCCACATTTTGTAATCTCTATATTGCAAAATCAGAAGGCAGCACAAAGATTCATTAAGCAGCAAAGGATATGTGTGGTAGGTGAAGAAAGGAAGGCAGAAGAAATGAACATCAAAGATAGAAAGCATTGACCAGGAATACTCGGGGTTCACGTCAAATACAGGAGGGGAGGCACAAACACTCAGAGTGGCTTTAAGATTCACCCAGCTATGTCCCGTTATCCCTGGAATACAATCTCAGGGAGGCTGTGTTGATGAACTTTAAGACTTTACTATTATTATTCATTTAGAGCAGTTTTAGGTTTACAACAAAATCTTTGACAGAGAGGTACAAGGATTTCCTGTATACCTCCTGCCTTCACACATGCATAGCCTTCCCCATTACTAACATGACTCACCAGAATGGAATTTTTTTTAAACAAAGATAAACCTTCTTTGACATATCATAATCACCCTAAGTCTGCAGCTTATGTTGGGTTTCCCTCTTTGTGTTGAGTATTCTATGGGTTTGGACAAGGGTATAATTGCATGTATCCATCATTTTAGTATCATACAGAATATTTTCACTACCCTAAAAATCCTCTGTGCTCTGCCTATTCATCTCTCCCTATCCACTTCCTCCCCCCAACCACACCATTTCCAGAATGTCACTTAGTTGAAATCATACAGTATGAAGCCTTTTCAGAGTTGCCTCTTTCACTAATAGGTATTTAAGTTTCCTCTGTGTCTTTTTATGGCTTGATAGCTCATCTCTCTTTAATACTGACTAGTATTCCATCATCTGAAGGTACTGGTGAATTTTTGAGCCTGGGAATGCTCCAAACCATCATCATTAATTCACTCAGGAAACCCCAAATCCAACTAAAGAAATTTATGGTTTTTTCAAACTGTGCTGACATCACTAAAAATTTTTCCAATCCCCACAAAATTCTTAAAAAGCTGGTGTTGCCCTGTTTTGATTGACTGATGTTAAGAGACATTAACTCACCTAATGATGCTTGTCTGATCCTGATTAGAAACTATTAACAAATGTTTCTCCTCTCCCAAGTAGCACTGCACTGAACTAGGGAGCTGGAACTTGTGTTTTTACATGTACAAAATTAAAATACAGTGTTTTACCTGGCAATCCTAAATGGAATGATAGCCCCACAAATCTAGTAACTGCGGCAGCAGATGTACTACCTTCAACTTTCCAAAAAACCTCACAGAACGTCAATATTTACTATCATAGGGCCAATGACAATGCAAAGTTCCCACTACTCTCCCACTTCACCCCCAATTCACTGTAACCTCTTGTTTGTTATCTTATCCTGATTAGAAGTTCTGAGCGGCAACTATACATGCCTCTGAAATGGGAAAAAAAAAAGAGAACACAAATTAATGATTATTTAAATGTAGTTTGTTTGGGAGGTAATTCTTTGAAAGATTAAAATCAATTGTAGATGAGTGAAGAATGGGTACCACTGTATGCTATGGATTCATGGAGCTGCCTCAAGAACTGCCTGGAAGTGCTTGGGAGAGGAAAAATGGGGGCATCAGACGGGGCTCTGATATCCTGTTCTGCTCCAAACTGAGCAGCTCTGCCCTGATTATATACATAATAGGATTCAGCCAAAGGTTTCATCTGAAGAAGATCGCCTACTGCTAAAACACAATCTGAAACCACTGTTCTAAATTAGAAATGAGCTGTCCAATATGGTAGCTCCTAGCCATACAGTTGGCGAAGGAAATGGCAACCCACTCCAGTATTCTTATCTGGAGAATCCCAGGGACAGAGGAGCTGGTGGACTGCCGTCCATGGGGGTCACACAGAGTCGGACACCACTGAAGTGACTTAGCAGCAGCAGCAGCCCTACATTGACTATTGAGCACTTGTGATGTAGCTACTCCAATTTGAGTTGTGGGTAAATGTAAAATAAACATCAGATTTTGAGACTCAGTACAAAAAAAAGAAAGTATAATCTAAATAATTTTCATATTGACAATATGTTAAATATTTTTATATGTTGGTTAATATATTATTAATGTACTTGTTTATTTTTAAAACGTGACTGAAAAAAACTAAGATATAGCTGGCTTAGATTATCTTTCTATTGATCAGAAGTGACACACCACGCTGTGAGATGCATAAAAGAAATTCTAGGACTACTATAGCCCATGACCACTCCCAGGATAGTTGAGGTTGTCCACTAGCTATAAGCACTTTCTAGCTATGAGTAATTTAATGTTTATGTTACTTAGAGTTACTTTAAAACAAGAGAAAAACTGTATCGAGCCCTCAAACCAAGTTCTTCCCCCTCTTCGTGTTTAGACAATTGGGGCGGGGGGGTTACGGTTGCAACCAGCGAAGGAGGAGGGAGGCTGTGGCTGGGAGTTTCAAAAAAAACCCCCATAGGTTACATCTTAGCTGGAAGAGGCGGTCCACGCTGGAGATGGAGACCGTGGGCGCCACGCGGGGCGGTACCTTGGCCTGGCTCAGCCGCCCCGCAATCAGCATTATGTGCTGCAGACTCCTCCTGACCTGCTGTGGTTTCCTTTCTCTGCGGTTTTTTTTTCCCCCCCTCACAGCATTTTGCTGTTTTACTGCAGCTTCTAGAAAGATTCTGATGGAATTCCCGGCCCCTTTGCTCCTGTTCCCTCATGCGGAAGCTTCTCTGCCTTCTCTCCAGTTCCGCTAGTTCTTTCTGTTTTCCTTTTGCTCTGCTCCAGTGCCTCTGCCTCTCTGGCGCTCTTCTGTCTGCTGTTTCAGCTGCAGAAATTTCTGCCGCTCGAGGAACCAGTTCTTTATTGAGGCATCGCTCAGGTGTTTGGTCTAATCAAACGAAACCCGGAGGCCACGAACCGCGGCTTTGTGAAGCCTCGCCTGTGATTGGAGCGTCACCCCGCGCCAGGCGCCTGCGGCTTGGAAGAAGACGCGGCGTGCTGGGCCTCAAGGTCCAGGGTCCCCCAAGCTGAAGGTGTGGGAGTTCGGGCCGGCCATCTCCTCCCAGGCGGGGTCACCTGCCGCATCTCCTCAGACTCCTCGAGCAGAACCTCCCGGCGCAGCCTCTCCGAAACCTGCTGCTTGAGGAGGTGCCGTTTCCGGGCAGCCCCCCGCTGCCACGGCATGGTGTTCGGCCTCTCCCGGCAGCGTCTCCTTCACTGCTTCCAGCGCAGGTGAAGGAGTCCCAGTCGTGGCGGGTGGTGAAATCCATTTTGAACTCGGCCGTGCTCACCTTGAGGACTTCCGCGAAGCTGCTGAGCTCAGTGGCCTTGCCCTGGAGGCAGGCCAGGAAAGAACTGACTTCTCGTGTCTCCACCTCACCCTTGAAGGCGAGGAGGCCTGCGGTGCTCTTGGAAAGCCGGCGTGCGCCATGCCCACCAGCTTCTCCATCGCTTCCCGGTTGGAGATGGACTTCTTGGCTGCCTCAGCTGCGGGGGGCTGGGGAGGGCACGCTGACGGTCATGACGGATTGAGGTCGAGGCCAGAGCGCAGAGCTCCACCGCCTTAGGTGTGTTGAGGACCGTGGTAGCTGCTACCATAACCCGGGCCTTGGGCAGGCGCGGGGCTCCGCCTGGGAACCAGACCCCTGCTGCCCTGGCCTGAGGTCCCCACCATCGCCCGCCGGAGCCCTTGAAGCAGCCCGCTGCGGCTGCCAGCCGTTCCTGTGACCGTGCCAAGTGCTAGAGAAGCCAGGGTAAGCAAGGCACATTACTGTGTGCCTTTGAGGATCTCAGTCTAGAGAAAGAGAGACAAAAAAGTAAGCAAGCAATTATAAAATATGCCCTTTCGACTGCAGGGAACCTGTTTTTCCTGTTCACAGTTGTATTGACATTATCGGGGCCATAGCACTGCATAAGTGTTGCATAAATAAAAAGGTGAATGATTGTAGAATGCTTACCAACCACAGGTAAGTGGAGACGGGTTACAGGAGGCTTTCTAGAGACAATGCTGACTCTAAGGGGTCTAAAAGAGGTAGCCAGGCAAAACAGGCCGGAGATGAACTCCAGAAGGAGAAGCAGCATGGTTGGCTTAGGTTTACAGTAACTAATTGTGCTTGGATTAGAGGATGGTGGTGGAGGAGGAGGAGGGGTGAGAGGTGACTATGAGCAGAGTCTCATTATGAAGAACTTCTATGCAAAGCTAAGTTAAGATTCTACCCTGTCTTATTTAAGCAGAGAGGCGTCCTTACAGTGTTAGTCAGGTAGAAAGATCAGTCTGAGAGCTTAACGGAGGACTGGTTGGTTACAGAGTGCCTGACATTTTTTGATTTGCAAAAAGACATTAGAATTTATTTATTTTCTATTCATTCATCCATTTGGTAAACACTTAATGGAAACTTACTGTGTATGATACTCCAGACTAGAAATAGGGGCTACAAAATGAATGTGGTCCAGTCCTTGCTTTGAGGGTCTTACAATTAGTAAGAGACAGACATGTTTAATTGAAATGTAATGTAAAAACAGCTGTGACTGTATAATTGGGAAGAAGGAAGGTTTCTGGGAAGACTAAGTAAAGCTTCACAGAGAAGGTGACATTCAACCTGGGTCTTTAACTGGAGAGTTAATAGAGTGTTGTTCTCCAGGAGGAAGAAATGCACAGACAAAAGTCATGGAGGCATGAAAGTGATGATCTTATTTGGTGGCTGCTGAGTGCTTCTGGGTGGTTCCAGGTTCAAGGTATAAGGGAGGAGAGTTGAGACCATAAGCTAAGAGGACTGACTGAGGAAATAATTCAGTTACTTTTTAAAGATAGAAAACATTTATTTAAAGTATCAGGAGAAAAAGTGAGTGCATAGATTGGAGAGATAGCTATACGATGTTCATAAGGATGTCCGGATTGTAAAGATGGATTTCAGTACAATGCTAATTAATATCCAAGGAATTCTTTAAATGGTATGTGACTGATTATAAAATTTATATAGGAAAAGAGCTAGTTATAGCCAAGATGATTTTGAAAAGGTTAATGGGAATGTATCCTTCAGTTCAGTTCAGTTGCTCAGTCGTGTCCGACTCTTTGCGACCCCATGAACCACAGCATGCCAGGCCTCCCTGTCCATCACCAACTCCCGGAGTCCACCCAAACACATGTCCATCGTGTTGGTGATGCCATCCAACCATCTCATCCTCTGTCGTCCCCTTCTCCTCCTGCCCTCAATCTTTCCCAGCATCAGGGTCTTTTCCAATGAGTCAGCTCTTCGCATCAGGTGGCCAAAGTATTGGAGTTTTGGCTTCAACATCAGTCCTTCCAATGAACCCCCAGGACTGGTCTCCTTTAGGATGGACTGGTTGGATCTCCTTGCAGTCCAAGGGCCTCTCAAGAGTCTTCTCCAACACCACAGTTCAAAAGCATCAGTTCTTCGGCACTCAGCTTTCTTTATAGTCCAACTCTCACATCCATACATGACTACTGAAAAACCATAGCCTTGACCAAACGGACCTTTGTTGGCAAAGTAATGTGTCTGCTTTTTAATATGCTGTCTAGGTTGGTCATAACTTTCCTTCCAAGGAGTAAGCATCTTTTAATTTCATGGCTGCAGTCACCATCTACAGTGATTTTGGAGCCCAGAAAATTAAAGTCAGCCACTGTTTCCACTGTTCCCCCATCTATTTGCCATGAAGTGGTGGGGCTGGATGCCATGATCTTAGTTTTCTGAATGTATCCTACCAGCTGTCAGTATTAATCTAATACATTTTAAGAAGAATAACATCATAGGAGGTATTTCTTTCTGAAAATTTGAGAGGAAATCACCATAATATTCTGTGTCAGACTGTGGAGAAAAATGAGCAAATTGGAATTTTAGAAAGATTGTGCTGGCATTACTTATTGTACAGGATGACCTGGGTATGGAGTAGCAAGACCGGAGTTGGGTGGTGATCCGCCTGTTTCAGAAAATCATCTAAGATGCTAAGAATGAAGAATCAGCATAGTAGGAATGGAGAAAGAAATCTGAGCAGAGAAATGTTTAGTGAGGAGAATAAATAGGCCTTGAAGTTTACTGTTGTTGGAGGGGATGTGAGTGTACAGGAGGCAAATGAAAGATAACTTCAAGATATCAGACCTGGGCAATTGGTTGGACAGTGGATCCATTAACAGAAGGAGTGAATATCAGAGGAAACCCCGATTGTGTTTACTCTGGGACATGTTGATTTTAAGAATCTCTGAGACAGACAAGTCGGTCTCTGGAGAATAAGATGGAGCTTGGAACAATTTTAGGCCAACATAATTGTAAATAATGAAATTAATTCTGCCTGGCAGATTCCAAGTTAGTCAGGCAGAGAAGGAAGGCAGTAGGTGGGAAACACTTGCTGTAGGGGATGATGTCTGTATCTGGGCCTTGAAGGATGGGGGGATCTGATGAGGCAGCAGTGTGGTGCAGGAGCATTTAGGGGTTGAGGGCTGATGCGCAGAAGCTGAAAGAGAGCACCAGCTGCTGATCATAGAGAGGATCAGCTATGAGGTTGGCAAGCAGGAGGAACCTCCAAAGGTGACGAAAGGAGAGAAGGACAAAGCAGAAAGAAAAGCTTTGCATTTTTCCATTCACATGTGCAAAATGAGTAGATGGGCCCTCACCTTTGCATTTATCACAGGTCGGGTGGCATCTCTCGCAGGTCTGGGTGCTTTGCTCCACGTAGTGATGCTCTGGACAGGTGCGGTGACACTGTCCTTTGGAGCGGAGCAGAAAGAAGAATGGATCGCAGGACAGGCAGTCTGTGGGCTGCGGGCCCTGGCAGGCCTTGCAGCTCCTGCTGCACCTCTTGCACTGTCCTGTGGAGTTTTCTGCATAATATCTGAACCAAGGAGAGAAGCAAAGGATCAGTACTCAGCTTGCTCAGAGGTTCTGTGTGGTGGGAAAAATCATGGTTACAAACTGAGTGCTTTTAGAATCTACTTATTAGATTCATTACCAATTATACTAATACATCTATTGAGTCTGTTTCTTATCCATGAATTGGACGTTACAATCCCTCCCTGCTATTTGTGGGGATTAAGTTAAATGACACAGTTGGAAGGACCTAGCACAGATCACACAAAGTTGTTGTTCAGTTGCTCAGTCAAGTCTGACTCTTTGAGACCTCATGGACTGTAGTCAGCCAGGCTCCTCTATCCATGGAATTCTCCAGGCAAGAATACTGGAGTGGATTGCCATTCCCTTCTCCAGGGAATCTTCCCAATCCAGTGACTGAACCTGGTTCTCTTGCATTGCAGGCAGATTCTTTACCATCTGAGTCATCAGGGATGCCCTTTTTTTTTGCATGAGGTGACTGTGAAATCATTTGAACCTCATAGCCTGGAAGAGGATCTCATGCATAAGTACAAACAGTAACTGGGCCTTAAAAACGTTCTGAGGTTAAACACCAAAATAATGATGTGCATGGGGTCAGGGTACAGAAGAGTATACACCCGCCTTCCCAAGGGGATTTAGCATACAAAGTTTATGCATGTGGATCAGTGATTTTACAAAAGGAACTATTTCAATAAAATAGCCACTTATCTAATTAAACCCTATTTATTCCCCATTTAAGGGATTTATGGCAACCTGTGCCTCACTTCCAAAAGGGAACTTCACTTATTATGGAGTAATTGTTTTCTTAATTGCATGTTCTGCAATCTTTTTAGATTTTGTGTGTGTATGTCTGCATAAGACTATCTAATGACTTGATTTGGGGAAGATGGAGATTCTTTATATGGGATCTAGATTTTTTAAGTACTTACTAAGATAAAGATGAAGGGCTGAGCCAGGCCGCCCCATCCTCTCTCTAGTCTGGCAGGAACCTTTCTTTATTGACTTATGTGACTGGTGTTTTTTGAGAGCTGCTAATGTGTGTGGCTCTGTGCTGAGTGTTGTAGAAACTTGTGTGAAAAATAAAATGTGTTTTTCTTCCAGGAGCTTATAATTTTCTGGGAAAGAGACATATAAGAAGAATAGGCTCTTACAAAGTCTTTGTATTACTCACCTTAACTCTTTATTAAGGATGTGTTGAATGAATGAGATCAATCAAAACACAAGACAATAATATAAGCAGTAATGGCTGTAAAACTGACGATAAGAGATGTGCACATTTGGTCAAGAGCATTTGGGCAAAGTCCAAGATTATAGCCCTGCAATTTGGGTCTGGAAACTCTCAATGCTTTAGGTTACTGACTGGGAGGGAAGAGTTAACAGTAGACCTGTAATCAGTCTTTATCTTTTCTGGGGATGCCTGGTGGCGGAAGAGATGACCCAGTCAAATCCTCTTCCAAATGTGGTGGTAACCAGACCTTCTGATAAACACACTCAGTGTTTCCTAACAGAATAAGCATAGGATGGAGACCTCTTATCTGTGAGATGCTTTTAAAAGGACACATCTGTGTGTCTAGGTTGCTTATGGTAGCTAAACCTGCAATTTGTGGATTAATGGGGGCATGGCAGGTTGGAGAATTAGTGGGGTAAAAGTGGAGAATTTGATGGAAATTGTGCCCTTTATAAAAATCAATGCTCCACGTCCACTGCTTAGACCTCATGTTTTAAATATGATCAGAACAGATCCAGAAGAGAAAGAACCTACCTTCGTGGTCATGGACTTCTCTAAGAGAAGAATCACCTCTGCCTTGTAATTACTGTGTCCTTCCAATTGGAGATGTTTGGCACGTGGGTCTGACTTGAGAGTCTGACTCTGTGTGTTATCTCATTGGGTCCCTCTGCCTTTCCTGTTTACTCTTCCATTACTGTGAACTGGCTGAAATCCTCTAGAGAGCAATTACATTTGGGTTGGACTCTCGTCTTTGTTTCTTACTGGCAGTAAGACTTTAGTCTGGCTATCTAAGTGTTCCAAGAGTTAGCTTCCTCATATGCAGAATGGGTTTGCTAACAGTGATATCTGGAGTGGTTATGGGATAGTGTGTTGAGCAACTTACCCTTCTCTGCACTGGGTCAGGCACTCCTGTCCCAGTTGGAACCAGCCTGGCAGGCAGGAGAGGCATTGCATGCTGTGTCTTCCTTCACATGTCCTGCAAGAGCTGTGGCAGGGGGCACACCGGTGGCTGTCTTCATCAGCGTAGTAGCCTTCGGGGCAGTCCTGCACGCAGGTTGTGTCTGCCAACGGAGGAAAGAGTCTGACTTGATATCAACTATGACATGGGTCTTTCTAAGCTCTATATGCTCCCCACTCTTTACCGGGGTGGGGGGTGATGAGAGGGGATGCAGGAGGAATGAGACAGTGACCCTGTGGGCTGATGGATATCCAGGGAGCTAAGATGAATGTCCAATAATCAACCATAAGGTCATTAGGAGTTGAGGAAAAACAGAGGTCAGAGTGGATGGACTGTGGTGGGCAGGACAGAAACCACTGTCTGTCAAAGTGTGCGGGAGGAAGTTAAGGGTCTCCCAGGATGGGGAGAACATTTGGGGCAGGGGTGCTGGGGTAGCAGGAATCAGGGCTCCATTGAAGAAAACAAAGTGCAGGACCAGTGCGATGACAAGTTCTTATAGTTTAGGCTAAAAATAGTTGAAATTGTAAGATTTTACCCTCAGCTTTGCTGTGGTAAAGTCACAGACAGTGTGACTCTTGAAATGCAAATGAATTAAAATGAAATTTTAAACTTTGTTTCATCAGTGGTAGGAGGACAGACATACAACATGACCATTGAGACACAGAGCTCTCTGGGCAGTGAGACTCTCTTTTTGTCCATGTATTTAAAGAATTAGATTCTAACCATGAATCCTCTGCTCAGCAAGATGAGTTGGAGGTTTGTTGTTCACCCCCACATAACCCCAGTCCTTCCTCCACCCATCCCAGTGGAGTCTTGATTCTTGCCTTTTCACCTTCCTTGACAATATTTAGGGCGTGGAAGGCAAGGGTGGATTCATGATAAAGTTAAAACATGAGATTTTCTGGCTTCACAGTTTAACATGCAGTCTTAGAGGCACCTTCTTCCCTGACTTCTGCTTAACCTCATTGAACAGAAGCCAGGCTCTCCTGCCTTGTTAATATGAGCCACTGGTCACAAACCTCTAGACCAGAAGCTGGTTTGTCTCTGTAACTTCAATCAGCATTTGCACAGGCACTGGTGGGAGCAACAACAAAAAACCCTAAATGATATTAGAGTTCATGTTAGTGCTGTTGATTCACCCAAAATCTGTCCTCAGACACTCTCAGCTGCTTAGAGACAGCGGCCATGTCCTTCATCTCTGCTTTTCCAGCACCCAGCACAATGCCAGTTTTGGCTTAGTGGCTATTCTGTTAAAGGTGGATGTTGACAGTGGTTTATTGTCTAGCTAATGTTATCTAGTTAACTAGGGGGGAGGCCTGAATCCCCCTAAGTTGAAGCACCCGTGTATTAGGTTCCTCTTACCACAAATGTGTAGGCTTAGAATACTGCAAATTTATTATTCTGGAAGTCAGAAGTCTATCGTGGGTCTAGGGAATTGTGTTCCTTTTAGAGACTCTGAGGGAAGATCTGTTTCTTTGCTTTTTCTAGCCTCTAAAGGTCATCTGCATGCCTTGACTTGTAGCCTCCTCCAGTTTCTTCTCAATGTTCCAATGGTCTGACGTCACATAAACTTCAACTACTGACTGTTTTGTCCTGCCTCCCTCTTATAAGGACCCTTGTGATAATACAGAATAGTCCTACTGAATTAATTAATCACATATGCAAATGTTTTTTGCCATGTAAAGTAATATATTCACTGGGTCTGAGGATTAGGTCGTGTACATTTTAAGGGAGAGCCTTATTCAGACTACCACAGCCTCCAGAGGAGTTATCTAGTTTATAAGTAGCCTGACCCTGATGGGGTGGCGGTAAGGGACAGGGTGGGAGAATATGAGAAGACCAGGTCTTTGACATCCTGCATCCAGCTTTGGCGGGGACCACAAGTACTGAAATCTCAGTTCTAGTCTAATTTATACCTCTAGTTCGAGAGAAGATCACCTTGTGGTGATAAGATATCTTCTGTTTGTATGAAGTCACCTGAAGTGGTCTCTGATGTCACTCTAGATCGGGGATAATTAGAAAAGAAGTTTTGGGCATTGGGATGAGACAGGAAATCTGGAATGGTTTCAAGAAGCAGCAACTGCTGGGAAGAAGGTTTTCTGAGATATGTGAAAGAGGGGCTAAGACAGATGGCTAAGGAAGACTGAAGTGCTCAAATGTTTTCTACAGGGAGGTGAGTGAGAGAAAGCATATGTAAGGCCAGCGGGGGTCAGTTGGTACAGGGCAGGTGTGCACAGTTCTTTGTACTATTCTCCCTCTTGCATCTTTTCTGTAGGCTTCAAAATTTTCCAAATACAGTGTAAAAAATTGAAAAAAAAAAAAAAAAGACACCAATTCCTGTAGGGCACCAGGCATTGTACAAGGGAGTCTCCCAGATGGAGGGAAAGAGAAGCTTTCCTTGGAGGAGAAGTTACTCACTGAGCAGAAGGCTGTCCCGCAGACAGGTCTGACACTGGTTCTCCGCGGGCCCCGTGCAGTGGAGGCACTTGGCGTGACAGGCCTTGCATACTAGTGCCTCCTTGTCCCAGTACTCCACGGCGGCGCATTCCGTGTGAGGCACACAGCCCCCATGGTTGTTCACCCTCAGGCCTTCCTGACACGTCGTGCAGGCCCCCGAGGACGAGCAGGTGCGGCAGGACTTGTGACAGTCTGCAGGGCGGGTGGGGACAGCACACGAGAGAGAGAGTCAGGTCACCCCTCGAGGGAATCAGTTCCTTGAAAAGTGTGCTCGGCTTCCTTGCTCAGAGATCTCTAGGGCTCTGTGTCAAGGGTGTGGGGCCAGGAGTTGGGCTCTAGGGTGGAGCATTCTTGCTGCAAGACGAGAAAAAAAAATGTCTGGTTCACTTTCCTGTAATCCCCAGGCAGTCCCTTCCTGCAGCAGCCACCTCAGAGATGTTGGTGAGAGCTGCCATAATTACCCAAACTGCAGCATTATAACAGCCAGCAGTTCTGTGGCGGCAAAGTCACACTCTAGTTTGTGGGCTTCTCAGCACTGTAACTCCTCCTCTGTGGTCCTCTGCTGATCTTTCAGTAGTCTGAGCTTATTGCTAACATAACAACTGCCAGTGTGTGTTGTAAATACTTCTTGATTAAAAAAAACCAAACAAACCTCTTCTATAGTCATTTAGAAAAGCAGAGTGCCTGTTAGAGGGCCTGGAATATAACAGTTAATTCCCAATAGCTGAGCTGGCCTGAGTTCAGTCATCTGTATTTTTTAAAGCTCCCCTGGTGGTTCTAATGGGCAACCAGGGATGAGAACCAGAGGGCTTTCTCAATGAGAAAATTAAATCAGGAAGATTAAGAACATGTACTCTAAACTTGTAAAGTTATCTACATTGCAGATTACTTTTATTACTGAACACCAGAGAAAGGCCCAGTCGATCCTCGGTTCCTACCCTAGTGCGGGCAGGATGGCCTGCAGGCAGGTGGCCTCTGGCCGAGTCATTAACCTTCTTGTGGAAACTGACCTATAGGTTTGCAGCCTCCCCATGTGCTCACTCCTGGCCCCTTTCCCGGTTTTATAGAGATAAAAATGACATTCAGCATTGTGTAAGTTTAAGGTGAAAAATGTGATGGTTTGATATATGCATATATTGCAGAGTAGTGACCAAGATCAGATTGGCTACACAGGTACAGCCGCTCATCTTCATGTGCTTTCACAAATGTGTGGAACTAAATAGGGCTTTACGTAAAACACACAAAAAGGTATATCCAGATCATAAGATTAGATCAGAAAGGCTGTAGGAACGTACTGCATCTTCACGTTTGACCAAACACATTTCCTGAATACATTCTAGGATGTGGGTGGCCACGAGGTTCTCCGGCCATGTGAGTTCATCCTGAGCTCTCACTGTGGTTAGGGGGCCTGCCTCTGGTCTGGATGGCTAACTCGTGGTTGCTAGTGGCAACACAAGGAGCTAGGCTGATTCCCCTGGTGGCTCAGATGGTAAAGAATCTGCCTGCAGTGCAGAAGACCTGGATTCGATCCTTGGGTTGAGAAGCTCTCCTGGAGAAGGAAATGGTAACTCACTCCAGTATTCTTGCCTGAAGAATTCCATGGACAGAGGAGTGTGCTGGGGTCAATGGGGTCACAAAGAGTTGGACTGGACTGAGCGACTAACACTTTCACTTCTTTTAAGGAACTAAATTACCACTAACTGCCTCATTGCAATGAATCCTGTGATTGTAGTTAACAATAGTTTATTGTATACTTGAAAGTTGCTAAGAGTAGAGCTTAAGTGTTCTTATCGAAAACAAACAAACAAAAAAAACTATGGCTGTATTAGCTGGTCGACCTTATTGTGGTCACCATTTATCAATATATACATATATCAGATCATCACATCATACACCTTAAACTTATACAAGGTTATATATGTCAATTATATTTCAATAAAACGGGGAGGGGGGGAAAGGAAAGTCCTTTCAATCAGAATGCTTCTCTTACTTGCTTGAGAATTCCTCTAGTGATGGGCAGTTTATTTAATTAATTTTTCTACTTCCTGACAACTAATAGGAAGCAAAGAATTCATGCCTAGTTAAAACATAAGGAGGCATAATTAATAACAGATCCTTTCTTGAATCTATAGGGGTTGAAATGCCAAATGGGAGGTGGAATAGAGGACCCCAGGTAGTAGAGGCTGCCTGCAGGTGATGAAGAGGAGGAGGGGGCTTTAGGGAGACAAAACACATGGAGAAAACCCTCTGTGGCACAGCATTCCTCACACTGCTGTGAACCTCTAATGGATTAACATTTTAAGAAAAATTTTCTATTTTGGATGACTTTCAAAGGCTCATCACCTCTGTTGTAAGTCTTCACCTGAGAATCCCTTTTGATCAGCTACCGTTGTGAGGAGGGGTCAACATGATTCAGGGCTGATAAGTTATATCACGAAGCTAAGGAATGATTCATTTAAAAATAAATAATAAACTAGAGCATGTATAGTGCAGAGACCGCAGCTCTGGGGCTGGAACTGTGCAAACCCCAGACCTGCTTTCTCTCAGCAGAAACCCATCATCCTCGTGGGCTCCCTGGGACGTGGTGCTTGGCCACACACCCGGAAATCTTTACCTTTGCAGACCTGAGTCTCTTTTTCAAGGTAAGTTCGTTCTGGACACTCATCTAAACACTGCCCATCGTAGAGAACCAAGGACGTGTCGGCACAGAGGTCGCAGTCATCCGCCGAGGGGCCACTGCACTCCAGACAGTCTTCATGGCAGGGAACACAGTGGCGCCTGTCTGCATAGAAGTGGCTGGGACAGGACTGGTGGCATGCATCCTTATACAGGAAGAACTCGGGCATGCACTCTGGGGTAGGGAGAAGCAGCAGAAAGGAATTTATTTGTTCTGCAGTGGGCTACCCCATCCCCTACCTCTTTGACCCATTTGACTCCGGGGTACATTTGCCTCACCCCCATCCTCCCAGGGCTTCCCAGGTGATGCAAGTGGCAAAGAATTTGCCTGCCAATGCAGGAGACACAGGAGATACATGGGTTCAGTATCTGGGTTGGACAGATTTCCGGGAGAAGGAAATGGTGAACTGCTCCAGTATCCTTCCCTGGAGAATCCCATAGACAGAGGAGCCTGGTGGGCTACAGTCCATGGGGTCTCAAAAATCAGATATGACTGAACACATACATGCACACACCCACCCCTCTCCCAGGGCATGTCATCCTTGCCTCACAAGCCCTGCCTTGGGAAAGGAGACCACTTATGGTGGCCCAGTTAGATGGTCCTGGTTTTAAATCCTGAAGTGATCTGCCACATGGATTGCGAAAAACCACAGGGAAGATGAGTCAGGGCTGAGATGCTGAACGTATTGTCCTGAAAGCTCAGAAAGCATTAACAGATTTTTAAACTCCTATTGAACACTGCTGGCTCTATTTAATACAGAAAGAAGTTTCAGAATTAGTGGAATAGTTAATTTTCCATTCACTGATAGGGTAAGCTAATGAAATATACATGGTTAATCCATATGAAGAATGCATTGTGTGTTTATTTGTGCCTATTCTCTTATTTGTGGGGGAAAGCACCACAATATGGTTTCTTATTCCAGAAAGCACTTAGGTTACACCAAATCCTTTGGATTGGACAGAGCCATTTAAATGAATCTGTCTTACTCTGCAGAGGAAATTAGACAGCCTTTCTCGGGAGATAATCTCAGGGAAAGTTCGTAGCTAGAGGGCTACTCTCCGAGTCTTACAGTTGCCTGATCCTTACTTTTGTATGTTTTGTAACAGTTGAAATTCTCCAGCCACCTCTGTGTTTTGTTAATATTAGTCTCTCCCATGAGGTTTTGTGACCAGAACAGCAGACACTTTGGGTTCTTGTCTGTATCTCTAGCACTTGGGACAGTGCTTGTCACACCCTAACTGCCCAGGACATGTGTGGGAGAAATCTTGTAAAAAATGGGCTCTTGTCTGTCTGAATTTGCAGAATCCATCATGAAAAGGCTTTATGTCACCCTCAGTTTTCTCATTGACCCCCATAGAGGTCAATTTCAGTAAAGGCATGGAGATGGTTTCCCCCAGATCTTCTTGGACATCCCACTCTCAGATAGTGGGCCCCCACCCTCTCCTCTGTGAGGCTCCCAGGTACCTTTGCATGTTTTCTCATGGATGCAGTCCTGACACATCTCTGGGCAGTGCTTGCACACCCCGTCCATGGCCACGTGCCTCTCGGGGCAGGTTTCCCGGCACACCCCCTGGTCCAGGACAAGGCCTCCTTCGCAGGACTGACAGCTGGTGGCATTTCCTTCACAAGTTCTGCAGGAAGAGCTGCAGCGCTCACAAGTATCGTCATCTGCATAGAAGCCCCTGTGGGAAGAGGGAGCCACTAGAGAAGCTCCAACTAGGGAGTTGACTCACACCTGGCAGTCAAGAATTAGGGCTGAAAATGGAAGGACTATGGCTGTTGTCAACTAAAATGAATTCATCAGATTTCCTGGGGAAGGCAGTAAAAAAAAAAAAATCAGGTTTAAAAACAATTAAATGAAAGGGGTAGGTATTATCCTTGTGAATTTATGGTGTTTGAAAACAACTTTTTACTTTAGTCATCTTCTGATTTTCTATTTTATCTCCTAATTTTTGTTCTTTTTGTTGTTGTTGTTGTTAGAGTAGAAAATGCTTTTTATCCCATTTAATATGGTTTTCATTTAAAAATAGTTTAAAATGTCACAGTTAAAATATTTTTAAAAGGCTCTAAAGGTTTAATGATATATACAGTTTTTGCATATGAAAACGTGGGGAATGACCTTGGAGTAATCACCTAGAACATGGGGGACCACCTCTGACCCCATAGGGTACTTGTAGCCAGCAACTGGACCCTGTGGAATGGGGATACCCCTCTTGCCTGAGTCATTATAGCCACTACCCTTTCAGTTGAGGCCACTGAGAAAATTGTTGTGGAATCCCCTTTAGCCATTTTTATTCCTCGTGCAGTAGAGATTCTCCTGAATTCTCATCACATTCAACATGTCTCAGCCAGACAGTTCCTGTGAAGTCTTTTTGTTAACTGCTTCTCACCGTATTCTTTTATGTTAGAATAACCGTAACCGACTACTCCTCTCCCTTCTGTCGCTGATGAAGTAGCTCAGCTCTGCCTAGTGCTGATGACCACCTTCTGACTCCTCATACTGATCTACACTAACTCCACGGGGCAACCCTGACTTCTCATGGTTCACTGATGGTCTCATTTAACAAGGGGACAATGGTAAATAGTGTACTGGGTATGTTATTACCCCTCCTTTTGATGTTGTTGAGGCAGCATCTTTAGCTATGGCTGCTTTAACTGAACAGGCTAAATGATACGCTCTTATACAGGTTTGTACTTAAGCCAAGGACAAAACTGCCACTATTTATACTGAGAGTAGACTTGCTTTCAGAGTAACTCATGGTTTTGGAATGTTGTGGAAGCAATGAAAATAAAACTTAAAATGCCCCCTATGTGTAAGAATTAGTGAATATAATACTTTTTGCCTGTCACTTTAGCTATTACTGTTTTGGGGCTTCTCACTTGACTCTCTGGAAGCTAAAGGAAACCATCTTGTTGCTATTTCTGTAAGGAATGCTGCTCTTAAAGGGACCAGTCACACCCTAATGATATTTTATAATATCTTTTTCCAAATGATTTAGAAAAACTGGCTAGAAGGGTCCAACAGCTGGCCTCAGAAAAAGAAAAACAAGTTTGGAAATTCAACAGTTGTTAGTTGGATAAAAAGAGAAATCTCTCGTTTGGACTGTATGACAAGCCAGTCCTACTGGAGATTCCGAAATTCCCACTCCCCACCGCTGGTTACATGCATTAAACCTTCAGTCTATGATGAAATGACAGGCTTCATGAATCAGTATTAATGGGGAAATATTAACAAGGCCACAAAAAATATTTACCTTACTTGTCCTGCTTATGCAAACTACAACCCAGGGAAGCCTCTTCCTACTGTTCCCTGACATTTTAAACTGCCCAGACCACTTGAGGTCTGGCAAATGGATTACATAAAACTTCCTCTGTCTAATGGATGTAAATAAGCTTTCGCCATGGTCTGTATGTTTTCACATTGGATTGAAGCCTTCCCTTGCAGGCAGGCCACTGCCTTTTCTGTGACTAAAATAAATCCCTTTGGAAAAGATTATCCTTACCTGGAACTTATTGTGATTGAGGAACCTATTTTATTGGCCGTGTACTTAAGTCTGCACTGTATGGCCAGTTTTACAACTTTTCACTTGCTTAACTACCCTCAGTCCTCTGGTTTAGTCTAATGCACTCATGACATTCTTAAGACTCAGTTGGCAAAATTTCTAGAGGCCCTCCCAATATCTTAGGGCTTCCCTGGTGGCTCAGATGGTAAAGAATCTGCTTGCAATGCGGGGGACCCAGATTCTATCCCTGAGCCAGGAGGATTCCATGGAGAAGGGAATGGCTACCCACTTCAGTATTCTTGCCTGGAAAATCCCACTGACAGAGGAGACTGGTGGGCTACAGTCCGTGGGATTTCAAACAGTTGGACGTGACTGAGCAACTGACACTTTCCAAATACCTTGGTCAAAAGCATCGAAATTAAAAGACGCTTACTCCTTGGAAGGAAAGTTATGACCAACCTAGACAGCATATTAAAAAGCAGAGACATTATTTTGCCAACAAAGGTCCGTCTAGTCAAGGCTATGGTTTTTCCAGTGGTCATGTATGGATGTGAGAGTTGGACTATAAGGAAAGCTGAGTGCTGAAGAATTGATGCTTTTGAACTGTGTTGTTGGAGAAGACTCTTGAGAGTCGCTTGGAATGCAAGGAGATCCAACCAGTCCATCCTAAAGATTAGTCTTAAGTGTTCATTGGAAGGACTGATGTTGAAGCGGAAACTCCAATACTTTGGCCCCCTGATGCAAAGAGCTGACTCATTGGAAAATACCCTGATGCTGGGAAACATTGAGGGCAGGAGGAGAAGGGGACAACAGAGGGTGAGATGGTTGGATGGCATCACCGACTCGATGGGCATGGGTTTGGGTAAACTCTGGGAGTTGGTGATGGACGGGGAGGCCTGGCATGCTGTGGTTCATGGGGTCACAAAGAGTCAGACACGACTGAGCAACTGAACTGAACTGAATTGGTACTTCTTAATCTCATATCCACCCCTTTTGAAACTCATAAACTCTCACCACTTGAGATAGTCATAGGATGCCCATTGCGCTTGGCTCCATACTTCTTCTGACCCTCAACTGATAAAAGGAGGGAAACTCCAGTCTTGGAAGGGCCTAATTGCTTCTATTAAAAAGAACCATGCTTTAGTAGAGCAATCTTTTCATGGTGTGGCCATGGATTACATCCAAATAGGCAATTTTGCAGAAAGAGAAAGTTGCCAAGCCAAGCTGGGTATTGTATATTCCTCAGACTTTATCTCCCCTATTTTTTTTGGTAAACATAAAGATGGGGGAATCCCATGGTAATCAGACCACCCTACTCAAGACAGGAAAACATATACTTGTGATTCCATAGTCTGCAGGATTTCCAGGTCAGTTTAGTAGCTTCCCTGTTGCTCAAAAAAATGAAAAAGGCTGCCATGTATCCATGTGCGTGTAGTGTCTCATTATTTCACAAGTGTATCTCAGCCTCGATTTGGAGGAAAAAAACCTCTTCTCCCTGCTGGGTGTTCTTACCCTGACCCTTTCACTATTAAGCCTCTTTTCAAATACCCAACAGGGGAGGCAACTTGAAAATATTATGCTGAATAAAATAAGTCAGTTACAAAAAGTCACATTCTGTATTATTTATATAAAATGGTCAATAGGCAAATCTCTAGAGACAAGGTAAATTAGTGGTTGCTTAGGGCTGTGGGAAATTAGGAATAACTGCTGAAAGGGTACAGAGTTTTCTTTTGGGGGTGATGGAAATATTTCAAAATCAATTGTGGTGATAGTTGCACAAGTCTCTCACTATACTAAAAATCATTGAATAGTATACTTTGTGTGGGTAAATGGTGTGGCATGTGAGTTATATCTCAACAAAGCTGTTATGAAGAAAAAAGAAACCCTGGTTGAATGAGAAGGTGACATTGTGTAGTGGTTAAGCACATGGATTTCCGTACTAGAGAGATTTGGTTTGAAATCCTGACCATGCCATGTATTAGCAGTGTGACTTTGGGCATGTCACCCTTTTTTTCATCTGTGAAGTGAGGGAAATAATGGTATAGTGGCCCTCCATATCTGTAGGAGATTGGTCCAGCACCTGACATGAGTGCAAAATTCCATGGATGCTCAAGTCCCATAGTTAGCCCTTTATATTCGTGGTTCTGCATCTGTGGGTTTGGCCAACTGTGGATTGTGTAGTACTGTATTTATTGAAAAAAAAAATAAAGGGGATGGTGTGTTTGAAACTCTTAGCACAGTGCCTAGATATTGCAAGGTCTCAGTAAGTATCTGTTTTTAAATGGTTTCTTTTCCCTTGGAATCTCTTAGCTCTTTGTGTATTAAGGACCTGAGAAGTATGACATTGATTGATGTAAACCTTCCCTACTGGATTATAAGCCTGCTGCAAACTCAGACTTCCTTCACTTGAGCTTATTTTAGCTTCCAGTATCAATTCTTTTTTTTTTTCCCCCAGTATCAATTCTTAACACCCCAAAGGTATCTGTAGAATTGAGTTGGATATGTTTGGCTTTTACAGTAGATTGGATGCTTCTTGAGGGTCAGTTCCTTGACTTATATTTGTATGCTATAGGATCAGTCTCAGTAATGGATATAAATAGGTCATTAGAAAATAGGAGTTGTTTTTATCATGAAGTTCTTTTAAGCAGCAGGCAAATAAAATTTCTAGTGCCTTTAGATGTTGGCTGCTTCCTCAAACCCATTTCTTGCCTCCCTCTCTCCACTCTTCCTGGCTGTGGGTTGTGATTTTTGTGGGTTTTCAGGGGCGAATCTCGTTCAGCCTACGTCAGTCCTCATATTTCCATTCTCCTTGCCAGGGATCAGTTTAGGAAGGTGTTAGTGATGCATTCTGGCTGATGAGATGTGAAGGGAAGTCTGAGGAAGTTTTGCTTCCTCTTAAAAAGAGATAAACAAGAAGAAAGGCAGCCTTTTCTGTCTCTGGTTGTTATAGCGTGGGATGATGATGTTGGGGATGGGCAGGCAACATGAACTCTGGGGAGGACAAGCTATGGAAGATAGGAGAGCACAGTGGAAAGATTGTGGGTTTCTAATGAAGCATTGGCCACCGAAATAATAAATGCTACACTTCCAAACTTTGTATCATATACATAAATAAACCCCATATTTTGTGTCAGGCCCTTTGACATTTTTGTTTCTTGTTACTGAAATTCTCCTGATGAACTTTTCCACTTGCTATTCCCACTTCCCACTTAGGTAAATCCTGGAGCCAGGACCACTGATAGGAAGAGTAAAGGAATTGTAAACCAGGGGACCGAGGAAGCCATGAGGAATCAATAAATAACTAAGCAGGCATTACTCTCTATTTATTATCTGTGATTCATACCTCTCTTTCAACATGTAGAAGAGGTTCGTGCATTCCACAGCTTATCACAACCTCACTTTTGTCATGAGAAAAAAAAAAACCCTGACAACTATTTGATCATAAATACAAGGTAAAATAAAGAACATATTTTCATAAGAGTCAAAATATGTACATCTTGTGGTCACAAGGGAGAAGCATGCATCTGGCCTTAAGTAAGCTTTGGCTGCTGTGGCCGAGAGTGACGTCAGCCAGTTAGGCAGGGAGGAGGACATAGGTGCTCTAACTAGGGAAGAGAAGAGGTCTTTGGTGAATAAAGGGAAATTGCCCCCATAGGCAGTGTTGCAGGAGAAGGAACACAGAGTAGCAAGCCAAAGGGAGAGGAGAACTTACTCAGGGCACCTGGTGAAGCACCTGCCTTGGTGGAGGAAGAGGGGGTGGTCTGGCCGCGTTTGGCACTTTTGGCAAAGATTGACTTCGGAGCAAGAGGCACAGTCTTCTGTGCAGTTCTCGCAGCTGCCGCTCCTCGCCGAGGGCCACATGCCTTGGGGACAGGATGGGACGCAGGTCTGAGCCAGCAGATAGGTGCCTGGAGTCCCAGGGAAGAAGACAGGTTAGGTGATCCTCAGGTGTCTGCTCTAACAGTACACGCACCCAAGCAGAGAATTGACACTCCCAACAGCTTTTTTAACTGCCCTGGAGATGCAGGTTTGATCCCTGGGTTGGGAAGATCCCCTAGAGAAGGAAATGACAACCCACTCCAGTATCTTGCCTGGAAAATCCCATGAACGTAAGAACCTGGCAGGCTATAGACTATGGGGTCAGATACAATTTAGCAACTAAAAAGCAACAACAAAGACCCAAGTATCGGGAACACCTATTTCAGGATTACCAAAACATCTTTTAGTGATGACTGAGTCTTCCAAGATGAGTTAAAACTCTAGAAAGGAAATTGTCAACAGAAGACTTTTGACTTGTTTCTTTGGCTTTTCTATTGATATTGCTGTGGGTAACCCAGGGCTTCCCTTTGCCCAAGTGATCTGTCTATTAAGACCTTTGTCTTCCTGGTGTGAGGCAATTATGTATACACAGCTGAATGGAGTCTGCTCTGCATCTCTCAAAGCATATGTGTTGGGACACTGACACAGTAGCAACCCTTGCACCCCACTCCACCTTTAATGCACAGTCCATTTACTTAGTTTTAATTGAAAAAAAATCAGATGCATCATCATTAAAACAACCCAGAAATCACCCTGAACTCCAAAATTCCAAGAAAATTGTCAGGTTTTTTTTGTTGTTGACTCTTATGTATTGTAAAAGTAGAATCGTGGCAGATTGCACATTCTAACATAATGATCACTTTAATGGGAGTATAACTTTCTTAGTTTCTAATGTGCCATGTTGATAAACTGTCACCTTAATTCAGGGAAGTTATTTCTGACTTGATTTTATAGATGATGAAGCCGTTAATTTGTTGAGCTGTTGTGCTTTTTTCCCCTCCCCTAAATTCAGTACCAAAAATGAAGAAAAATACCTGGTAGACATTTCATCCCCATGTAGATTCTCTATCTTAGTTCTTTTGTTTCAGCTAATGCACTTTAAAAGAACAATGGAACTTCTAGAAATGTCGGGCAGCCAGAGACCCTAGCAAACTCTGTGGCCAAATTGATCATTGACTTAATCATGCTTTGGATAAGAACCATTTCTTTTCGTTTTTGTTCTGTCCCTTGAAAACTAGTTTTTATTACAGGGCAGTGCTTGGGTTCCTGTGTTTCTCCAGAGCTCCTGCTGTGACAGCAGCATGTGATGAGACTATCACGAGATGCTGAGCAATAACTGACTTGGTGTGGCCACTGCTTCCTCCTGTAACATGCCGCACTCACCTTTTGGACATGAAGTGCATAGGGTTGCCGATCCATGGCAGGTTTTACAGGAAGAATGACATGACTGGTGTCTTCTCAAAAGGTCTGTGTAAGGAAAGAAACAAGAAGTCTGCCTCTTTTGAACAGGTGCATAACATTGTTGGGAAAATCTCATGAGTAATTTCATTTCCCTTTTCACCCTAAATAGACCCTTCAATTTGATAGCAGTTAAATGTTGGCACCACCCATTGCCTACTAAGTGGACTTCATTTATTTTATTTTCCTTACTCCTTCATTGGCAATAGATGTCAAGCCTTTCTTTGCAAATTCCCAGTGACAGGATAGCCTTAAATATAGGGGGATATTTGAACTAACAGATGTTACTTATTTTATATTTTGTAAATGTGTGGTTGTGTGTATGTGTGCTGGAGGTTTTGTGTCAAAGGTAATCACTTATTTCTCCAAGATTCTTTGATGATCACTTTTCTTTACTCCAAGATGATAGCTGAGAATTCGTTGTGCCCCTTCTTTTTTTTTTCTTTAGGACCAGGTTTCATAAACTGGTCAGTGTTTGGGTCTCTGTTCTTCATAGCAGCCACTGTGGGATGCAGCCTAAATTGACCTTTTGAATTTGTCCAAGATCATCATTAAACATCCGTAGCCATCGGAGAGCTTGCTGGCCGGTCGGTGACAGGGAGGTCATCCCAGGTTAATAAACCATTAATCTGAGAAACATGCGAGCTGCTTCTGCTTTCTTCCCCCACAATCATTCGCTGGGCAGGTTTTGCCAGGAAGGCAGCAGCTACTCAACGGGATAGTCGTGTAACAAAGAAAACAGCCTCAGCGACGTCACTCACTCAGGACACACAGAGATCTTGGCTAACGTCCAGTAATTGCTCGGGAATCAGCATGACTCATACAGGGGAGATTTAGAAAAAGAAGTTCTAGCTCAGAACATGTCACACAAATGACCCTGAAGTTCAGCCAGTGGTTATTGTCGGCATCTTACCATCCCGCTCCCTTCCTTCCTCCCCCTTTTCCTTCTTTCCTCCCTCCCTTCCCCTCTCCCTTCCTGCCTCTCTCGCCTGTCGCTTCCTTCCTCCTCTTCCCGAGAGTCTGGCAGAATCTAGTCACACCTGCCTTCAGATCCCAGGTGTGCTTTTTCTGGGTAGGGTAACCATGGATACAGTAATTAAACTCTTTGAGTCTTACAATACTGTCCACTCTCTGAAATGAGAGCAAGTGATTCTTCCCTTACAGGGTCTAGTGAAAGCTGAGTAAGACAGCGTGTAAAGCATGCACAGTGGCTCAGTAAATGGTGGCTCCTGCTGCTTCATTTCTTCGTTTATCATCCCGCCCCGTTTCTCAGGCTGCTGTTTTATTTCCCGTTCTCTTTCCTCTGTTCCATCCTTGGAGTGGTACCAGGAGCCAGTATCTTGGTTCTTCTAATGGCACTCATAGTCAATACACTGCTGAGCCTTGCTGCAGAGAAAGCTTGATAGGTAAGTAGGCAATAGATAGCCAGAGATAGAGGTCTGTGGACATAAACGATTGTCCGTGCTGAGTGACAGTTTCTTTCCAACTGTGAGAGAAAATTTTGTACTGGTTTTCTAGTAGACGGGTGAACTAATGTACTCTGCTGGGGAGCTCTGTTAAGAGTTCAGCCAGCCAGGGCAGAGCAATGCTAGTCCCTGGATTTTCACAAAAGTGATGATGATGGGTGTGTTAACTAACCTTATTGTAATCATTTTGCAGTATACACATGTATTAAGTCATCATTTTATACATGGTAAACCTATATAATGTTGTATGTCAGTTACATCTCAGTTAAGCTGGGAGAAAAAGATGCTTACTTGATGAGAGCAGTTATTCAAGGAATAATAACTAAATATTCATCTGATATTGAGCACCTTGAAGATCTTTATATATCCAGGCCATGGGTTGATTTTGTTTTGATTTTATCATTTTTGTGCTAAAATGTTATATTTTTAAAAGCTATATGTTTTAATTAATTTTCTCACATTTAAAAAAATATAATGTATATATTTACACATAGTATACATACGTTTATAATTGCACATACATATCTCACGTTCTGGTAGCTTGATATATCACTCCAATACACTTGGTATAAAATTCTGTAATGTCCTCACATCTCGACTAGAGGGTGCTCTGCACACACTGTTGGCAGTCAGGCTTGGGCAATGGATAAAGATCCCCAGCGAGAGCTCTTTTATCAGAAAAGACTAGATCTCAACACTAAAATTTTTGACCTTGATCAGTTTCTCTTTTTTCTATTCCAGAAATTCTAGACTGAACAGGACCTCACCCCCTCCCCTGAAAAAAAAAATCACCTTGACCAAGAAAATATAATGTACACCCTTCAAATATGACTAATAAAGTATGGGTTCTTCTTAAATTTTTTAGGTTAAAGAAGCAATACTCCCAGGTTCAAAATGTAGACAAGGTGTATACTGTGAAGTCTCTCTTACCATCCCCCTCCACCCTTTTTATACGAACTATTCACAGTGTTTATCATGTTGCCTTTTTTTTGTTTTTTGTAGTTGTGTATTTCGGAGACCATTGTTTATCAGGATATAAAGACTCTCATTCTTTTTGATGGCTCCATAGTATCCCACTGTGTGGCTGTGTCATATTTTTTTTCCTACTCTTGTTGGTGGCTGTTTAGTTTTTTCCAGCCTTTGTTATTTCAAACAAGGCTGCAGTGACTAGGAAGGCAAAAGTTGCTCTTCTTAAAGATCTGCAAGGACAGAGGCTTTTCTTGATAACTTTTCTCAAGAATAACCACTTTGTGCCTCCGGAATGTCATTATATGTTCTTGAAGTCTCCGCTGCTGAAATTCCTCCCAGTCTTTCCCTTTGGATACCCACTTATATTTTAATTGGAGGTCCCATCCTCTCTCCATTTTTCTCATGACTTCTGCATCCCTGCTTGTTCCTCACTGCCTGATTTCTTGGGTTGGTTGTTACATCACAGAGACTCTCCTGGTACGCTTGATCATCTTGTCCTCCCTGTTTCCCTGTTACCTCTTTTGATTTGAAACTTCCACCTTCGTTGCTCCTGCAGCAGGCTCTTCACCAAAGATGGGCTTGCAGTGGACACAGGTACTTTTTTTATTAAAAAAGAAAGAAATTTTTTATTTTTTTAATGCAAAAACGATGAAGAAGATAAAGTTTGCCCCTGAATCTTACCACTCAGAAATGTCTGCTGTGTGTACTTTGGCGTTTAGATTTCCCATCTTTGTATGGAATGCATAAGTGTAATTACATATGTGTGTATATATGTAATCATTGACGTCTTCTGCATACATAGTACTGATCTTACATTTTTCATTAATGTAATGAATCTTATAGGAGTTTTCTTTTGCCATGAAAATTCTTTGTAAAAATATTTTTTTGATTGGTGTTTCTGCATGAATCTTAATTCACTTAGTGTTTTTCTTCATTACATTTTTAGATTGCTCTCTCCTTTTTTTAGATTATAACTAAAAGTGCTGTCAACATCTTTGTACACATTCTAGGTTAAGTCAGGACTCAACTTGGCTATTAGGTATCCCAGCTGACTGTCATTTGCCCTTCTTTCTGGGACTTTTTTTTTTTTTTAAGCAGACCTGTATTACTCCTTAGGCCTCCAAATTGCTTTATTTCATAAGCTCAAGAAGGCAGTTTTGAAAGTAAACTAGTGTTTTGTGGGTTGAAACTAGATTACGTTAAAGGGTTAGAGAATAGATTGACGTTTTTTGCGCTATACTATGTGCTGAGGGTTTTATATGTATTCTTCCATTTAATTCTCAAAATGATCTTGTATGAGACATTTCATATTCTCATTTTATAGGTGAGAAAACTGAGGCTCGGAGAGGATGAATATCTTGCTCACAGTCACAGAGCTGGTAAAGAATAGAGCCAGGAATTGAATTCAGGTGTGCCAAATTCTAAACTCTATCTTCGTTAGATGTTTTAGTAATTCATTTAGTCTCAAAATAGTTTGGTAGAGGTCAAGGCAGTGATGTACTGGTAAAATGGTTCTTTGGAAAACAAAACAGCAACAAAGACTTGATTTGTCATGTTTACCAATTTCAGTGGTGTAAATATTCCTGCCACAGCTGATTTCAAGCTACCAATTGTTTAATAATCCACTCATAAAATTCCTGGATGTTTAATAATCAGTGTAAGCAGATACACATGGCTCCTTCATATCACTAGGCCAAAAGTTCACTTAGCTGCCCACCTATGATTTTCTGCACTCTGAGTTATGATTGATTAGTTAAGTAAAAATTGTGTCCTCAGTTGTAAGTGAGGCAACTATACACAAACTTCTTCTAAAAAAAAAAATCAGATTTTTATGGTTTTTAAAAAAAATTGTCTGAAGTTCACTTACTATGAAGTAACATATCTCCCCACTGTTGAGAACTTTTTTTTCACACATGTGTGGCTTCCAGGGTTTGTAACTGACTCTGGGATTTCGGTCTTTCTCTGAGCATAGGAATTAAAATCAAAAGACAGACTAGTGATAAATTGTTAGGATGTGGTCAAAGATAAAAATTTAATTTACCATGTCTGTGCTTTGTAGATTAGACTACCATCAGAATATGTAATTAGAACCTGCTACAAACATGGTTTTAATCAATGATGGAAATAGGTGGGTAGGGGAAATGTGCAGGAATTATTCTGAGGACTTTCCAGCACCACCAGGGGGGAAACCACTTAAGAAAACCCAAATGATTTAACAGTAATAAACTGTTTCCATTCCCAACAATGGTTTTAGGAAACCAGCTGAAGCTATCGTTTTCTTTCAAAGCCTGCCACACCTGAGCATTTCCACTAACAGTGGGTCTGCGTGATGCCTGAGGCCCTGCCGATGCCACTGGCAACAGTCCGTTTGACATTGGTCGTTACCACACAGGGACATTGGACTAAATAGTCCTCACAAATATATTAGTGACTGAGACAGGCAGCCTGGGGATGATCTGTGCTTTTGTGCAGGGACTTTTTGGTGGCAGGAAGAACCTTTGGAGATGACTTAGTCTTGGCTGAGGATTTTCCAGCTGTGGTCTGATGTGTAGGTAAATCTCCATTTGGACCAGGGTAGGAAGCATTCCTGCTCAGTGGGTAATTATTTTTTTAAAGATTTATTTATTTAACTTTTTTTGGGGGGCTATGATGGGTCTTCGTTGCTGCACTTGGGCATTCTCTAGTTGGGTTGAGCAGGGGCTGCTCTTCATTGTGGTGACCAGACTTCTCACCGCAGTGGCTTCTTTCGTGGTGGAGCTCAGGCTCCACGTGGGCTTCAGGACTCACAGTGTGTGGGCTCAGTTGTGGCTCATGGGTTTAGTTACTGTGCAGCACGTGGGATTGTGGGATCTTCCTGGACCAGGGCTTGAACCGGCATCCCTTGCATTGCCAGGTGCATTCTCGAGCACTGGACCACCAGGGGAGCCCACAAAGGGCTTTGACAGAGGGTGATGACCTGTCGTCATCAGCACTCTCATTATGAGCAGCCACCTTATTAAAAGAGAAGTCCAGTGGACTCTAGTTGGATTTTTATTTCAAGGCATTTCTCCAACATGTGCTGACATAGACCATGGGATGGCTTTAGCTTTTGGATGTAAGCGTGATCTTATTGTTTCCACTGGCAGTAGTGTGGTTGAAGAAATGGGACCAAGTTTGTCCCACCTGCTTTGTCCTGCCTGTATCTGAGTCTGTGTTTGAAACCACAAAAACAACACAACCCCTCGCTGGTACCACCTGGCTGGCTCTGTTCTCTCACGAGCTCTCTGGCTTGTCTGGGCTCCCTCTGAGTTGACCAAGGATGACTGCAGTCTTCTTTGTATCATCTTAAACGTGGGGCTAATAGTGCTTATTCTCTGGAATCCTCTACTCTCCTGCTACAACCTCAGCCTTGTTTCTTAAGGAAAAGAAATCAAGAGAAAAATGTAGGCATTGGTTTAAATACACTCAGGGCCTTGTGGAGTACGTTGCCATTTACCGTCCATTTCAGTGGTGCCCAAACCATGCTGCGGAAGCTGAGCTGTGGCCTCACCTCGCTCAGTGAACACACGGTTTTTTCTCATTGTTTGTAGTCTGCATGAATGTCTTAGTCCCTGGATTATAGGTGTGGAAAAGCTCTGCTATGTCACTGACTTTATTGCTCTTGTCTGGCCATGAGAAACAGTCTCATCTGCTTTGTGAATCCCGCATTAGTGCTATCTCCCCAAATGGACTAATTCCTTTCTCTCTTCACAAATATTGCATTTTGATAGTAGAAAAGGCAGAGGGGTAGATGTGGTGCCTCGCAAAGCGGGGAGCAGTGAAGCCTTGATTTCTGCTTGCAGAGTGCGTAGTCCAGTTGAAAGGGATGTGTAATCATTTGGGGAATCGAGTCTGCTCTGGCTCTTGGCTCCCTGAACCTTTTCATCATCTGGACGCCAGATAAAATACAGATGTTCTGAACTAGAAACATAGCACAGACTATTTTCCTCTTGGCTTGCACCGCCTCTTAAATGCCTGCATGCCAGACAAACTCGTTTTCAGCATTTTGGTTCAGCTATAATTCACGGGAGATATCCCAATCTGGAATGAATGATTTTCTTCCCAGCTCTGTCTCTGAAATCAGCCCGCATTCTTGGTGGCCTCTGGCCGCTGGGTTTGTGATGATGTCTGAGATGCTCTTGCGTTAAGTCACGTAGGCGACACTGTCATTGTAGACAGCAGCTGTGGACATCCTTCCTCTGAGACTTAGCAAGAGGCTTTTCTCCTGCCCCAGATCATCCCTCCCTCCAGCTCTTACAAGACTCATCCCAAGCAGACCTGCTTTCAGCTGCTGCTGCTTCTGCACTGAAATGACCTTTTTAAACAAATCCTTGCCTTGAAATCAAGACAGAGAGCATCTCTTGTTTTCATCGGCGTCTCTGCATGGAATGTGAGTCAGAGTTTTCCAGCAGGAGGAGGATTTTGTTTTTTAACCACCTCAGACATGGAGAGGCCACTACAAGGTTGTAATTACCTTACCAGGAAGTCCGTGACCAAGCCTTCAGGGTCTGGCGGCCACTTCTGAAGACTCAGGTGTGAATAAATACATGTAGGTCTTTACTGTTAGACTCCAAGCTCCCACACTTTTTCTCCCTCCTGCCCCCTCTCAAGCCCACCTGCTTCCTGCATCTGCAACTAGAGAGGGTAAATTTTAAAAGGTAAGCTTGAATGATGGCAAGTTCTAATAATCCAGCCAGAAAGACCAGCCATTTCAGCTGAAGTTCCCATGCTTTACAGTGATTCGTTTTTGTCTGGGGGCTTCTCAGGTGGCACAGTGATAAGGAATTCCCCTGGCCGTGCAATAGATACAAGAGACCTGGGTTTGATCCCTGGGTCAGGAAGATTCCCTGAAGTAGGAAATGGCAAACCACTCCAGTATTCTTGCCTGGAAAATTCCATGGACAAAGGAGCCTGGTGGGATACAGCCCATGGAGTCTCAAAGAGTCAGACACGACTTACCGACTAAGCACTTCCTTGTCTAACTGGACAGGCTGTCCCACTAGTGGTTTTCTTTTCTCTTTTTAATAAAGAGATATGTGAATGTCATCGAAGCTATTCTGAAATCTTTGAGAGAGTGGTAGTCATTTCTCTCTCCGTTTGTGTGTTCTGCAGCCCACTCCACCCAGCTGGAAACCCAAGTGGCCAGATCAGTGGCCCTTTGGTGTTTGTTTCCCTCCTGACCGAGGGCTTCCCAGGTAACTCAGTGGTAAAGAATCCGCCTGCAATTCAGGAGACGTGGGTTTGATCCGTGGATCTGGAAGATCCCCTGGAGGAGGAAATGGCAACCCACTCCAGTATTCTTGCCTGGGAAATCCCACAGAGGAGCCTGGTGGGCTACAGACCATGGGGTCGCAAAGAGTCAGACACAACTGAGCGACTAAACAGCAGCAGCTCCTGACCAAATGCCAGCCACACCCTCCTGCCCTTTCTTGTGGGGAGCATCACAGAGGCTCCGGGATGCCACACTTTTGTTTCACTGCCTAGCCTGCATCTCTTGGGTATCCTGAAAGCAAGGCTTTGGGAGTGGGGGGAGGGGGAGGACACAGATGGACACCTGCGGTCCTTCTTGGGGGGCACATACCATTCCAGAAGCTGCCTTCCTCCTGGGTGTGGGCGTGACGCACACATGTCCCCCGCAGCAGCTGCAGGCCTTCTCGGCAGCTGCTGCATTGGTCGTGGCCAAGGCCGGTGCAGGTTTCGCAGGCTTGGTGGCAGGGCTCACAGACTCCCATCTCTGGGTCACCGTAGAAGCCGGGGCCACAGTTCCTCACGCAGCTGCCCCCTACGTGAGAACACAAGACAGGAAGCCTGAAGTGGAAGCCTGGCTGGCTGAGTCAGGTGCTCTGCACAGGGCCAAGTTCTAAACAGGCCAAAGGGAGGCTGAGGAACATTTTTTAATCTTTAAAGAAACCGTGATGACATTTGCATATTTCAACCCAAGAATCATGTCTTAATAAATCCAACACTTTAAGTCCTCTTTCAACTGAAAATTTAAGTTGGCTATCAAAGGTTGGGAGCACAAAGACTTTTATGTTCTCAAGACCTTGAAAAATTGCAGATAAAATGATCTCCACACATACAGAGCCCCTCAAGGTCACTGTGTCTGCCCTGCTGTCTCTCCCAATTGGATGACTCACAGTGTATTTCCTTCCCAACCATTCATTTCCATCACAGTCAATGAATTGACTTAAATCTAAGACTAAAAGATCTTATTTAACTTTTACAGTGCAGGGAATATAGAACATGAATAAAGTCTCAAGGAAAGAGTCATGTTCTGAATGTTCCAGGTGACTTCAGTTCCAAAGCATTTATTTCTCTTCAGTGTCTGTCCCTCCCCTCCACTCACTCTGCTTTCCATCAGCTTGGAGATGCTTGCGAGTAATTAGTGAAGTAGGAATTATGCTTCAGTAATAGAAGCAGAAGGAAGTAGTCCTGACTAATGTTTATTTTCAAAGTAAAATTCCTGCTTGGACAAGAGGCACAGGAAGACTCTAAAACCTATCAGATGAGCTCTCTTGTCTCTGAATAGAGCCCTGGAGCCTTGTTCTCACTGTACCAGGCCTGTTTTCAAGCTTGGGGCTTCCCTGGTGGCTCAGAGGGTAAAGAATCTGCCTGTAATGCAGGAGACCCAGGTTCGATCCCTGGGTTGGGAAGATCCCCTGGAGAAGGGAATGGCAACCCACTCCAGTATTTTTGTCTGGAGGATTCCATGGACAGAGGAGCCTGGGAGGCTAGCATCCATACGGTCGCAAAGAGTTGGACACGACTGAGCAACTATTTTCAGGCTTACCCAAGAGGAAGAAGCCCTCTTCACACCAGTAACACTCATTGTGGTCACAGTTGCCACAGTTGGTATCACACGCTTTGCATTCAGATTCTTCCCTGTAGGTCTTCTCAGGACAGGTTTTATAACAGTGGTGTTTGAACCTGGGGAGATAAGATACAGTTTCTTCCATGAGCTATGTTAAGATATTACTATTTCTCTTTATCACCATAATTTAATCTCCTTATATGTCTACACATCATTTCTTTTGAAGTTATAATCTTTTCTCCCTTAATAACTTAAAACATAAGTGGCATACACATTGCATTAGTTCCAGGTGTACAACATAATAATTCAGTATTTGTATATATTGCAAAATGATCACCACAGTAAGTCAAGTTAACATCTGTTACCATGGTTTCAGAATTTTTTTTCTTGTGATAGGAACTTTCATGATCTATTCTCTTAGCAATTTTCAAATATTATGCATCATGAAATTTTTTATTGAGGAATAGTTGATGTACAATATTATATGTTTCAAGTGTACCACATAGTGATTCATAAATTTTAAAGATTATATTACATTTATAGTTATAAAATATTAGCTATATTTCCCATGTGTATAGTGCATTCTTGTAAATTATTTAGTTTATACATATATCACATATCATTTTCAAATTGAAGTCCAGTTAATTTACTCTGTTGTGTTTTAAGTGTACAGCAAAGTGATTCAGTATATATGTATATATATATACACACACGTATATCTTCTCCTTTAGATTCAGTTTTATATTTATTTTCTTTCTAAAATTCCTTTTTATTATAGGTTATTACAGGGTGTTGAGTAGAGTTCCCTTGGCTATATAGGAGGTCCTTGTTGTCTTATTTTATGTATAGTAGTGTGTGTGTGTGTGTGTGTGTGTGTGTGCAGTCCCCCAGTCGTGTCTGACTCTGCAGCCCCAAGGACTGTAGCCCGCCAGGCTCCTCTGTCCATGGATTCTCCAGGCAAGAATACTGAAGTGGGTTGCCACATCCTCCTATAGGGGATCTTCCCGACCCAGGGATCAGAACTGTGTCTCTTGCATCACTTGCATTGGCAGGCAGGTTCTTTACTACTGGCACCACCTTGGAAGCCCCTATATACAGTAATTTGTGTATGTTAAGGCAGAACTCCTAATTTATCTCTCCCTCTGTATTACACATTGTTTTTAACAGGTGTCCATATTTGGGTTTAAGGGAGAAAACTTTGTTTGTTGTGGGTGTGTGTGTCATTAATCACTTCCCTCTAAACTTCAAGGACCATTCATTGGGACTGCAGGGAGGGGCCTAGGAAGAAAGAGAAGGGTACATTTATTCATGGAGTACTGATTATGTGTCAGGTATTAGCTCACTTAAACCTCTGCACAGTCCTCATATGGTAGCTGCTCAGTCGCATCTGACTCTTTGCGACCCCGTGAACCGCAGCACGCCAGGCCTCCCTGTCCATCACCAACTCCCAGAGTTTACCCAAATCCATGTCCATCGAGTTGGTGATGCCATCCAACCATCTCATCCTCTGTCATCCCCTTCTCCTCCTGTCCTCAATCTTTCCCAGCATCAGGGTCTTTTCAAATGAGTCAGCTCTTCGAATCAGGTGGCCAAAGTATTGGAGTTTCAGCTTCAGCATCAGTCCCTCCAATGAACACCCAGGACTGATCTCCTTTAGGATGGACTGGTTGGATCTCCTTGCATTCCAAGGGACTCTCAAGAGTCTTCTCCAACACCACAGTTCAAAAGCATCAATGTTCTTCGGCGCTCAGCTTTCTTTATAGTCCAACTCTCACATCCATACATGACCACTGGAAAAACCATAGCTTTGACTAGATGGACCTTTGTTGACAAAGTAATGTCTCTGTGTTTGAATATGCTATCTAGGTTGGTCATAACTTTCCTTCCAAGGAGTAAGTGTCTTTTAATTTCATGGCTGCAATCACCAAGTGCAGTGATTTTGGAGCCCAGAAAAATAAAGTCAGCCACTGTTTCCACTGTTTCCCCATCTATTTGCCATGAAGTGATGGGGCCAGATGCCATGATCTTAGTTTTCTGAATGTTGAGCTTTAAGCCAACTTTTTCACTCTCCTCTTTCACTTTCATCAAGAGGCTCTTTAGTTCTTCTTCACTTTCTGCCATAAGGGTGGTGTCATCTGTATTTCTGAAGTTATTGATATTTCTCCCGGCAATCTTGATTCCAGCTTGTGCTTCCTCCATCCCAGTGTTTCTCATGATGTAGCTGTTACATATCTTTAATTTCCAGGTAAGGGAACTGTAATTCCCTTATCTGGAAAGGTTAGTGATTTTCAGGGTTAAGTGCTCAAAATCACATAGGTAAGAGGGGGGACTGGGATTCTACCCGAGGTCCGTTTGAATAGACAACTTGTGTGCTTTTGTCACCTGGCACTCGCCAGGTCTGAAACAGGTCAGTGTTGAGTTCAAGTAGCCTCATGAGTCCATGATGTCTGTTACCAGGTTATTGATATTACCAGTGAAGTGCCCAAGCTTTTCTGTGTATATCGTTTTATATAGATCATTTCTTATTCTCGTTCTATGGTAAAACGTTGTGATTCAGACTCCATTGAGGTTCATTTGAAGGGGGAGTGGAATGAAGTTGACCTCTGATCTCTGGTGAATTTCACACTGTCATAAAATATCACAGGGAAGCTTTGTATTTCTTCCTTAACAACATCTATTGTGCAGTGTTTAATTAGCTGTATTAGAAATGACTGCATGTCCTAAAGGGCTATAATATGTATTTCTGGAAACAAATGTCTGAAGTTTTATGCTTAGTGATGCTGGCCGTGTTCTTTCAGTGTATTTGTGTCTCGAGGGGTTTTATGAAACGTGTTTGTTAGTGTGCAGTGCTGAAGTGGGGAGGTGGCCTCCAAAATCCAACAGAGGAAACGGCTCTCAGGTGTCAGAGGGTGTAGGGGCAGGTGAAGGGGTGTGTTCTGGTATCAGAGTGAAGAAGGCAGGCAGGGTAGAGCTAGGCTGGAGGGGTGGTGGTGGTTGTTTAGTCACTAAGTTGTGTCCAACTGTTTTGTGACTCCATGGACTGTAGCCCTCTAGACTCCTCTGTCCATGAGATTTTTCCCAGGCAAGAATACTGGAATGGGTTACTATTCGCTTCAAGGGATCTTCCCTACCCAGGGGTTGAACCCGTGTCTCCTGCATCGCAGGATTCTTTACCATCTGAACCACCAGGCAAGAACCAGGGTGGAGGGATGGAGAGCTGTAATAGGGACAAAGAGAATTACTCACCTGCTACTGCATGGTTGCTATTTTTTTATTTGAGTCTGAGTTCTCCTTCCTTGGCTCCTAGGGAAACATTTTGTACCCCCAACCATGTGACCTTGCCAAGAAATGCCTGCATTTCTGCTCTTCATGTCTGCTGCGGGTTTGTGTCATGGACCACATGCCAGCTCTGAATGTGCTGACAAAGGATTGGCTGCTTATTGAGTGTCATCTGGTCTACCTTACAGTAATCAAGTCTAAGGGCCTCTTCTCCACCCCCTCCCTTATTTAAATGGGACAGTAATTTAAATCATTCAATCAGGAGGATGTAGAGACATAGTCAATGTAGAGAATATTAGGCAATTCTGGACAAGTTGAATTAAAACCATAAGTTTAAGTAATGCTGAGGTTAATAGATTATTTTCAGTATGTCTCAGCTTGTTGGGTTTCCCTTCTCTCCCATTGTCTTCACCCCTTTTAACCTCTTTCTACCCGCCACCACATTTTGAGTTCTTGGAATCTGATGGAGGAGAAAGGCCAGGTGTTGACAGAAGGAGTCAGCCCACCAAAGTGGAGGCAGCCCAAACATAGACCACCCCAAAGAGCCTTGTCTCCCTTCTTTTCTTAGTTTTTCTTCCAAGATAGGCACCAATGTATCCTGGAAGGGAGACAAGAATAGGAGGGGGAGGTGATACTGAGACATAACATCCTTGATTTGTGGATTTGTATCAGAGAACTTTGGGGGTGATGGTTATCTGCATTTCATTTAACCTAGTGGTCTTCATCTCTCATTGCCTGTAGGGGGATTAAGAGCTTAACAAACACCTGGCTTTATCCTGGACTGTCTGACTGCCCTTTAGAACGAGGTCTCCATGCAGACATTTGGAAATGACTTGCTTGGGGTCGAGTGTATTATTAAAGTCTGTCCATAAACAGCAAGGTCTGAATCTTGGTAACCCATGGCAAGATTCCTAGACACCAGTGTCAGGCTGGGTGATTTCCAGGACCAAGAGAGAGAGGACCTCCCTTCGAAGCAAGAAAACAGCTGGGCTCTTATTGCTAAATCCAAGAATTGTTCATTAATAGCCTGACAAGAGAGAGTTGCTTCAGGCTGCAGGGCCTCTTTGCTTTAATCACTGGATTTAAGATTAAGTCAGTAATGCTTAAACTGCAGAAAAAGTTAGTGCCATAAAAAAAAAAAAAAAGACCAGACTTACATGTAGTACCCTGTAGTGCATGATGTGCAGGTTCCTGGATCATCTGGAAAAAAATTATAAAAATAAAAATAATAATCATCAAGTTCGTCATTTGAAAAACTGAGTTTTAGAAAAGTTGTGGCTTGAGACACATGCTTATGGGATGGTTTCACAAAATACTGTCTAGAAATGATGATTGAGTAGATTGCACTATTTTAAAATTAGTAACAAGATGTACGATACGATTTATCTTTATTAAAGCTAGTAAAGTAAGAGTTCTCATAAAAATTTGGCCCTGACTTTCAAGGAGGAATAGGTCCAAGCTACTGGGTCTTCAAATTGCTGATCATGAATGATCTACAAGAAGCTCCCAACCACAACCTAGGTAAAGGCTTCAGGTATGTCCACACACACGTTTGGAAGGGACTGCAAGGCTCCGACCTGAATGGTGGATTTTTCATGAGTTACCCCTTAATGCCAATGTGAGGGAATCTCGTCTGGGAGGCTTCTTTGAAACCTGGATAAGTATTTATTTCTTTTTCTAATACAGTATATCCTTTTGTTCTGCTCTTCACCACCTTCTTAAAGAAACTGTCCTGTTCTCGTTAAGTACAGTGATTCATTGTGTCCCGGTTGGCTCAGAGGACTCTTTCCTACAACTTTCAGGCAACTTAATGAGAAAGAAAGGACTTTGCGAATCACTCACTTAGACTGTTTCTCTCTCTTGTCCCTCCCTGAAAGATCCCAACTCCAAGATCCAGTTATTAAGACAATTTGGTGACTTCCTCTGGCCTGCAGTTCTTATGAGTGACAAAGTTACTTCCAGTAAGTTCTTTCTGTGATCTAACTTATACTCTAATTTTGCTCTTCTCATTCTAAAAGAAGATAGAAAAGGGTTGCTCCTTTTTGAAACGTTCATCTTAGTATATGAGGATTTATGTCAGCCTTAACTTTATTTAAACTAAATATTGGATTGGCCCAAAAGTTCATTTGAGATGTTATAGAAAAACCCAAATCAACTTTTGGACCAACCCAATAAAATTGTGTCCTTTGAACTTTGTGCTTGGTTTTCCTTTCTGATCTAATTTAGGCTTTATTCTGGTTTTTGAGAAGCCTGTTCCTTGATGGCAGAGTCAGCTTCATCTGAGTCTTTAGTCAGACTTTCATCTTGGCTCTTCCTAAACACTGCTGTGTATCACGCATACTGTGACTAATGCATGTGCCGAAAATTAGTGGAAACATTTCTAGAAGAGGTTCTACCATGTAAGCAGGGCTCCCTAGAATCTTCTGGAAACAGCCTAGTGATGATACCATGGAGGGGGCACTGGCCTAGGAACTAGGCTACCTGTGTTTAATTTGAAGTTTTCACCCTGGCTCAACTGTTTTATGAACTTGCATAAGTATCACTCTGCTTTCTGAGCGCTGATTTCTGCAGGTATAAAATGATTCTGTAGGATAAGACTGTTGCTAAGCCTCCCCCAAAGTCAAATATTCTGAAGCTAAGTCTAGTAGGAGTAGGCAATCTATGGCCTACTTGGGGGGCCCCTTTTGTTTGCATATTGTGTGTGAATTCTTCCATGCCACAGCCTCAAGAGTGGTTGAAACAGAGTTAGAAAGTATTTACTGTCTGTCACTTTACATGTGCTGGCCCCTGGCTCTAGCACTGTTGGCCCATGACTTGGTCATGCTCACCTCTGTTAGATAACATGGGTGTAAATGTTATTATCTTAACAGCTTGTCCCAGAGTTCCTTTAAAGAGCTGTCTATATTTAGGAAAACATCTTGTTAAGCCACTTGGGATACAAGTTTAATCAGAATGATTAAACAAGAGCCAAGACAATCAAGGAGATAGCCAGGCGCTTCTGCAGGAGGCCATGATTTGCTCATGGGAGGGAAATCGTTTTTGTGTCTGGGTCAGCATGGTTTGCTGTAGGGTAACCAGAGCAGGACAGTAAAGTGAACCATAAACCAGGCGAATTGTGTCATCATGGGAAGGAAAAGCTCACTGGAATTTGTGGAATTCTCAGGAGTGGGCTTTATGCTTCTACAATCCATTGATTGGGGATGTGAGTCCATTTTAAGAAGGTACAAAGGTCCCAGTGAGCACTAGTGGTTATATTGGGTAAGTTTATTTCACACACTGAGTCTGTGTTTGCATCTGCATTCTTTTTAGTCCTGCTCCTAAAGAAATTGCTACTACTCGGCTTGCATTTGGGCAGCTTTCCTCTTCCCTGCCTGTCCTCAATGAACGTATTTGACTCTGACAGTTTTGCTAATTTGGCAAGGGCTGAGGAAATTCTAATCCTGTTCTCTAATGTTCTGGCCATCCCTCCCATCTAGGAACTTAATGAGTTTGCTCTCTGCTCCCTTAAGCAGGTCACTGATGAAAATGTGAAACAGAACCAAGCCTCAGAAATGTGCATACCAATGTAATCGCCAGTCTAGGGACTTTTCCAGCCCAGTTGCACAGTGAATTTGGTACCTTTACAACAGTTTGCATAAATGAATAATGCATAGAACAAGAACTCTGCCTTATAACAGCTTATGAATGCCCATTAGTCTTGCTCATTATTACCGGTTCTAAAGCATAAGAATTGTTGAGAAAAAATTTTCTACCCCAGAAGATTCACAAATCAGACGTAACCTAAATGGATTTAGCTTGACCACTGGGAGGCAGCTGCTGTGGGATTAAGGTAAGGTAACAGTCCCAAACCTGGAAGTTGACTCTAAATCAAGTTGGCATTTGGATGGTAAGGAGGGCTTAAGGAAGAAAGATAAAATTTCCTGACTTTGTGTCTGTGTGTATGTGTGTGTGTGTTGGGGTGGTGGTTGAAGAGTCTAAACAAACTAGAATTGTGAACTGTCTTGGAAGGTGTTGTCCAGAGTAGGGTATTTAAATAGATCTGGTTATTTGATCTTGTCAAACTTGAGCTGAGAGAGCATATTTTGAGAAGGGATGCGGCAAGTTCAGACAGAATTCACAGTGAGAGCCTTCTACTTTTGGAAAAAAGGCTTCAGAAACAGCCACTGACTTTTAGCTGCTTCCTTCCCAGCTAAGGAGAATGTGTGAGCAGATGCCTTGTCAAGACGTCCCTTCTTGCAAAAATTTGTTTTATTGTCTCATTTTTACAGGATGGGCTGGGACGGGTAGGACTACAGTGTCCACTCTGTCTAGAGAGAACTTCGTGATTCTCTGTATCCCTTTTCCATAGTTTCCTTGGAGACCAGCAGGGCTGGAACTCAGCATGAGTGCACTGTCCTCGTGGAGACATTGACTCCTGCTGTCAGTGACACCTTCAGTGGTCAGCTTACATTCTCTGCCATTTTATTATATTCTCAGTAATGCCTATAGCCTTTACCATTGAGTTGGGTGGATCAGGCCACATCAGGAGTTAGTAGTTCTTAATTACCAACTATATTGGAAAAGGGTATTGAACATTTAAAAATGTCCAGAGAAAAATAATTTATTTTTATGGTTTATATAAACTTTGAGCCACATAATTAAAAATACATACAAGTTAAAATGATTCTAGTTTGCTTTTTCTAAACTTGTTTCTTATTTTGTGTTTATTTTTCACTTGAGGGAGGCAGAGGAAACTTGGTATCCTAAGAATAGCCTTTTATTAATATCATGTAATATCTAGATATGCCAGAATTAGCCAGGAATTAGAGAGATTGTTTAGGCAGAATTGACTCTCTGCAGAACTGTAGGGAAAAGTTAATGTCAAGGTGCTGCCAACTTCATTATGGTTATTTTTCTCAAAATTAATTTTCAGGCTCCTAGGACTTTTATCCATACCCTATGCTAGCCAGGCCTCTATCTTCTACTGGCTATTGAAACCTATCTGACCCCTGTCCCATCACTGCAAAGACCTACTAAGTTACTACCTAGGATGCTAGACTAACGGGTATGTTAAACTCTCAGTCTTGGGAGGCTCGTAATACATCAGTCTCTTCTCAGGTGTCTTAGATTCATTAGGGTCCTTCTACTGTGGCCTCTTAGACCACGTCCATAAAGGTGCCATAAAACAGTGCCCACCTCATTGTAATTTAGCATACCCTGGATGCTTCCTTGCTTTTCTCAGATGATCCCAACTTTTGGACTCAGTCACCTTCTTGGGTCCAGTCATCTGTATCCTAGGCTTGAGAAAACCTGGGGCTTTACCTGCCTTCCCAGCGAGGCAAGGCTTTAGACCAAACTGATGCTCCCCTCATATTTTATAGGTTTCTAGTCCCAATAACTTTCCAAAGCTCCATAACAACACAAATCAAAAGCAGTAATCTCCATATTTTTGAAATGTTAAAAAAATTAGCATGTGCCTGCAATGCATATATGTCTGTCTAAATTATTTATATGTACTGGTGCATGAATATTTTACACATGTCAGAAAGGCATGCCAAAGTCGAAGATTTAAGAGGATAACATAATTTTGTTATGGATAACAAATTCTGTATTTTTCTATAGCCCTAATGGATTGTCTTGCATACTTTAGAGACTGCTCACTCAGACTACACCTAACCAAAAGCCATATCTGAGCTAATGAATTTATATATTAAACTCCCCAAAATATGTCTTACATTTGGTTCCTTAAAGTTATAATTGAAAGGAATGGCTTTTCGATGAATTCACTCATATGCATATGTCTAATGACTGCCTGCTCTTGACTTCCAGCCCCTATTTATAGATAGATTATATAATTCTAATCAACTTGTTCATCTAGCAGTTTTGGGTTGAAAGAAAAGTTGAAAAATACAGATATGAATGAACATGCTTTAATGATAGGGCTCGGTGCCACTTTCTCTACCTTTCCACCACCCTCTATAGATTTAGTACACAAATTTATTTTTCTAGATGAAAAAAGCAGTTCTCATGTCCCTGCAAAAGACAGCCTAAAAGTTCATCTGTTGGGAACAAGTTAAAAAAATATGACATATTTGTATAAGATGGGCTAGTACAAAACCATTCAAATTTTGTTTCTTGTGAGTGTTTAGAGGTATGAAAACATTTTCATGATAGGCTAGGTGAAATAGGATGATAATCTATATCTAGGTACATGTATCATC